ATACCGCAGTAATGGCTACTGATTCTTTTCATTGGATTGGTCTATGTACATAATTATTTTAGTTTGGATAGAGAAAACATTTATTTGTGAAAATATAAGTTGATATGCCGATGAGAAGTCAGTAAAATTCAGTAGAAATGAACGACTCTATGAAATTAAAAGTAAAAAAGATGAGAAGTGCAGCTGCAAGAACTTTTGTTGTCTTGGTTACTTTCGTTTACTTTTGATGACATTTCGCAATGTCATGTCTCAGTCTATATTTCAAACAGTGCAATGAATTTATGTATCGATTAGTAGATAAATAACTAACGACTTGTGGGTCGTCCAAAACTGAAAGAACCGAAAATGGACGGGCCTACCAAGAGACAGAAAAAATACCTATAACGATTCGCAACTTACCTGAACAATGTTGTACCTTGCTGCCACTCTGTTGACAATGAGCGCCTCCTGCGACAAAAGAGGGCCCCATAAGATTGGCACAGGAGGTCCGCTGTAAGCCAAATTGTACAGTATTTGCAAACCCTCCTCCGGATCTGCTCGCTGCAAATTATTTCAGCAACACAAGAATTACAAATGAGGTGTATTAACGGTATTTAACCTTGTGAAGAACACATCAAAAAAAATCTTAACCGACCCCTACGAGCTCACGTACTGAAAACAAAATTCCATTATACGAATTATTTCAACAAACGGGAAAGCCAAAACAAAGTTCCAGTGATGAAATTGTAAACGCTTTGCCGTACGTCATTCTTGTTGATTTCGCCAATTTCATTTTGTAAACCAAAGTGCTAAGTTACATCAAATAACGTCCGTTTTGCGTCGTGGTTGGTATGCATTTCCAAGGAGACTGTGACTTTATGCCTTTCACTGGTTGGTTTGGGGCTTACTTGCAATGTTCTACAATATCTCCGGTTTCCCTAACCAAATTAGACCATGACATCAAGCATAACAACATAGAACATAGAATCTCAATGGAAAGGCAATATTGTTGTCAAAAAGCACCTACCCCAGTCCAGTTCCATCTCATGATCAGGTGGTAATCGTCTAGGATCCCGTCCAAGCTGTTGATATGGTCCAGTGCCGTCTGCGCTACCTTTTGTTGCATACCTATCAAAGGACTGTTGGGAAAAGCGAACATACCGCCTATGTGAACCACGCATTTTGCGCCGAAAGCAGTGGCGTTGTCAGTGTTGTTGTATCCTGCAGATCCGAGCACCGGGAACACAGCCAAAAAAAGGCCGAGTGCCTTGGTGACCGCTCTCTGCTGGACAGTAAACATCGTTGGTTGTCACCAACAAGGAAGTTTCACAAGCTGTGTTTTCATCCCGTCAGAAGCTTGTCTTAGTGGCTATTATTGCTATCATGTTCGTAAGTGACATTGTCATGCACACACACGCACCAATGTTTGCAAATTTCCATTGGATGGGCATTCGAGTTGCGCGTTAACTGCCGGTTACAAGGCTCCATGTACATGTATCTCTATGTGAAGTTGGTGTGGTTTAAACTGAAGTGACGGCACACTTACAAATCGGATATGATGGTTGCACTACACCAAATAAAGGCCCCTAGGAAACAGTACAAAATCAGCGCCGAAATAGCGCCGGGAACAGGTTGGCCTCCGTTTTTTCACTGGAAATTCAAAATTATGGCCTGAAGATTACTGTTCGTTTCAATTTTACGGGGGTTAGCCACGCGATTTTTTTTTATTCGCCTTTCCCCGACGATACCCCCAAAATAGTAGTAAAACTATGCGCTCAGCTCTTATATAGCCGCCAGCCTCTATCCAATCGGCAATTTGGTGCTTTTTGTGAAAAAAATACCTCGAACTGGAAACTACCAGTCCCAAATTCGGTATTTACAGAAATATTTCTATGATCCTTCCTGATTATGGCATGTCTTATTGTAAATACCCCGTGGGATCATGGGACAGAAGTCCGACCATTTGGTGGAATACATGCTGATAGACCTTTTTCACCCACGTGACTAAATGTAAACAATACCACTACGTGTGGACCGCCTTGGCCACGGTGATCGTATATATTCCTACGGGCAGCTTCAACCACGTGCAAGCACACGTGCAAACACTGCATGCTTGACTAGTTTATCTTGAATAAGTAGATTACCATCACAACACTATGCACTCATTACCATCACAACACATCATAGGTTCAGCACCATCCATCACTAGAAAATGTCTATCCGCCCCGAATTGAAGTGCACCCCCAAGTGGCAAAAGAAAGGCAGATGGTAGTAAGCTTTCCAAACGGGTTCTTGCACGCGATCTGCGTGTATGCAAAGACCATACATTAAGGAATAAATTCATTGCGCGTACTCAGCGTGCTGCGCGTCAAACGCGCCATTGATGCCATTATAAACGCGTGCCTATGCGGTGAGTACTAAAAAATAAAACACAGAAAAACACGCCCTCTTTCAGAAAGTGGGGGATATTACCCCCTAGTCGGAAAAAGGGGGCAGTGACCCTCTTCCTCCTCACTTCGGCCGCCAAGAATCAATACTTTTGTACGTTCATTCGTAGTTTACAACTGTTTTGAGTACGAAGTTGAGCTTTTTTGACAGGAAACACGGGACACTTAGACAACTTGGCGAGCTATGTCAAATCTATCCAATCGCCGGCAAAAGACATCCAACAAAACAGTGGCAAAGCCAGTTGTAAAATACGAACGAACGTACAAAAATATTGATTCTTGACTGATTAGATTTTACAGAATTTTTTTGAAGTGTTTTGAAACAACAGATATAACAGCCCGAGTAACGGGAAGCCTTTTAGAAAAGGGGACTTTTGTAAACTGGGGCACTGATCATCAGGCTTTGTTGGAACCCATGTTGTACAAGCTCGATGTAGTATACTGGCCCGTACATTCACGTGATGAGCTTTGCTGGGGTCCTTGGTTGAATGGGATGGCATTTGAGGATATGGTACTGCTTGAATTGGATTTTAGAACTGATTGTATTTAGAAGTACTGCTTGCATACCAAATGAATTTCATATTTGTTGGAGAGGGTTTGCATTCAGATGAGAAGTGCCACTTTTATTAAGGGAATAAATATGTGCTTGGCCGGCCAAGAACATATTTATTCCCTCTCATAGACCTAAGTACCTTTTTAATCAGAGAGTCAAAAGAAGTCAATATATGATGGATTTCCAATGCTTTCGTTCTAGAATTTTACTTTCATTTTCCGGAACACCCCATGTCCCATTTTATGGTATATTCCTTGCCCAAAAGAATCTTCTTATATGGACTTAGCACGCGCCTGGCGAGCGGCGTGCACACAGACTCTTGACCGATAAGAATCGATTAAACTGCCTCGCATCAAGGTGCCAGCGAGTGATTTACGCATCGGTCATTATCACTTCTCAGCGGGCATTATAAAATGTTTTACAACTGCATTAATCCCCGTCATCAAATTGGTGGATCGTTGATCACATGGCATTGAATTATTTATTACCAACCGGAAGCACGCACACGACGCGCGCGACGTGCACGCCGACTGCAAAAATTCTGTTCGTTAAAAACGAATAACAAACACCTGTGGATCATTTGTACTGCAACTTCTAGTTGCGCAAGTTTCTTTATGGCAATTGACGAATTATCAAGCTCTGCCGAGCACAATTCTACAAAATAATTACAATTATTGTAAGTAATGCTGATGCAAGGAACTAAGGAAACAGATAAATTGCTGCCAAATGATTATTAATGAGCTCTGGCTATTATGTCGGAAAAGTAACGGATTCACTGAACTGGACTACTTCCAGTTGGAATCAGTTGATTAATACTCACAGAAAATCAGATGATGAGGATTTATGCAGGTGTTGTCTAATATAAATAATAAATGTTTCGCGTTCGTTCTTACTATCGCACTCAAACATTCGTTATTTGTATATTAATACACTGTTAAGTTACACGTTGTTGAATAGGGAGATGAGGTATTTATGAATATAAGTTAAAGTGTGTGCCCATTTACTGCTTTATGTAAACTCGCTTTGGGTCGGTCTGCGTTCGAATTATCAATTTCCTATACCAGATTGTTCCCACCTCACTTTATGCGTTGATAAGGACGTGATGGGGTTATTTTCTTACATTTATGAAGGTGGAATCAGGTTATCTATTTGTTATCACAGAGAAATGGTTTCATTTCAGGATGAGTGGAAAGTGAACAGCCGAAACTTTGAGTACTGCGTGGGGAAATTGTTTTCCTGAAAACCTCAGGTTATTTACGTCACTGTTCTTTGAGATGTTGAAATGTCTTAAAGTTTAACGGAAACAAGCCGTATAAGCAAGGGTAATGATCAGCCATAAACCATGCACAGCGCCCTCATGGGAAAAGCAATTTTTTTTAGATGTATGCCACGTTGATTACACCTATTGCATAGTCAGGTTCTACGCCATGTAGAATCACCGCTGCTGTCTTCCATTCAGTGCTAATCAAATTGAAACGCATTTCACGGTAGCAGTGGTAAGATGAGTCTGCTTAGGACTGGTTATGTAACATAATTAGACAGAGATGTTGACATAAAAAGATGGTGATTTTTCTGTATTTGTTTTCGGGATGAATTTGTAGCATAAGGTCAGGGATAGTTGTACAGGCAAACTCTACATTGTCAATTTTGCTACACGGTAAATTGAACGTAGCTTCTGCACCACAAATTGGAAAAGCAGCAGATTTCATGCCTTAACTTTTGTCAGAGATTTAAAAAAACTAATTTTTCTAGAGTTTTGAAATTGACTAGTTATGAAGAGGGAGCAAGTAGAGGCAATTCAATTTTGATTGCTGGTGTTTTCTGTTAAGGAGAAACGACGAAAAAGTGGAGATTCTTTGCTTTGATGGGCGAGGACGCGAACTTCCGAACCATTTGAATCAAAGAATCTCCACCTTATGAGTCGTTTCTCCGATTTAAACCACGTCCCTCCCTCCACTTTTATTGTCCAAAAGAACAAAAAGGCTTTACTGATGCTTTGAGAGCAGTGAGATGAATTCCATCATTTGTCCAACGTTGGCTGGCTATGTACATTTGCATGTACATTAATGCTTCATTCCTGTCCCAAGCCGTTGAGTAACTCCTCGGCTGGGTGCACAACTATTTTTCATTCACAAGCACACATGCTCTGCACCAAGTCGCACACAGCTACAGACATGCAGTCGACACCATCAGTGTATCGCACGGCACACACTGTCTCACGGTCCAAATGGATTTATATCTATATGTTAGTTGTGGAAATAGGCGCTACGCTAAATTTAAGTTAGCAAAGGCTATCGATATGACGATACGGAGCTGGGGACCTTTTACACCATCAAGCTTGAGTGACTGATTTGCAAACTGCAGTTCTCTGCCTCTTCAAATGAAGTTTACGTTTACAACCTTGGAAGTACAAGTTTACTCTTTGAAATCCCTCAGTCACCAAAGGAAGTTCTTTTGTTTGGAAAAAACATGCATTGGAATATCATCTCATTCATCTGCATGGGAAGTATCATACGTAAGTTTCTAAACGATTAATATGTTTTGCAAAATTGTACATGAATTGTGATTGCTGAAGTTGTTTTTAAAAATTGTTTAATAGAGAAGGGTTAAAGCTGAGGTTTAACTGAAAGTAAAGTGGCTAAATGTGAATTTTAAAAATAAATACACGAAGAAAAATACATCTGATTAACCCTAACAGTCCTTTTCATCTGTTCGAGTATTGAGGACCGGCAGATTAATCGAATGCGTTGAAAGTTGTCTTGCAAGCAATGGGTAACAGGCTCTAAAAGGCACAAACAACTTTACAGAACCAGACTGGGTGCACACCTGCACGGATAACAGAAGTTTGTGTTTGTCCGATTTTATTTGAAATATTGGCTTTGAGGGGGGTGTAAATTTTGATGCTAAGCAAGAGAAACAGTAAATGCAGACCCAACCCAAATAGATAATCAAGTACGTATGTTGTCGGCAGTGCCTGCATTTAGCACCGCATGGTGGCAATATCGATCTAACGCACCAAACTTTCAACGAGCAAATACGGATTAAGGCGTCCACTGGTCAGGCTCAAACCATGTCCATAGATGCCTGAGGCATGTCTCAAACCTTTTTGCAAGCGCTACTTGCATTGCGTTGTGTTCATGCTTGTGAACCTCTAAAAAACTTCGTATGTAAGTATGGTGATCGCATCATACTCCTGCTAACAATAATCAATGAACAGAGAACCAAACATTTATCAAAAGCAAAATTAACAGTTACACTTGATATCTATTCGACAAAACAGGGTGCCAAAATCCATGTTTGGTTTAAATATGTTTTACGAAAGAAAACTTGACTACATGCTGTCTGGGTTTCACTTAATCTTGGGCCATTCTGCAATGGAAATACCTACGGTAAAACACAGCATACTCGTCGACAATAACAAATCACATGGTCGATACAAGACATCAAAAAAAATTAGTCTGTTTAGTCTGGCGCCATCAACTGATTTCAAGGTTCTAATTGCGATACGAAAACATGTAGGATATCCGAAGCGCCAAGAGTTAGGCACCTCTCCACTACAAGGGCCTAACATCTTATGGTTAATGTAACAGAAAGGTTCGTTGTACAGCGGAATGGACATATTAGTTTACTTTCTAGTGCTACTAGTCACAGTACTAAAGCAAAAAGCCCAAAGGAATTTCAATGGTTACATATACTACCCTCGAGGATATTTCAGTCACAGTCGTTAAGCCCATTGTTTAATGGTTAGTAGCTGTGCATGTATACATAGCTCTATTAAACCCACCTTTAATATCAACAGATTAAATGAATAATAAGCATCATATATTTTCGGTATTTTATTTATAAACTGTTAAGGATCTGAACGAGCGTCACTGCATCTGAAACACCAACAGTACTACTTTGCTCCAGGATTTAAATTGGCAGTATAATCTTGATATGTTCAGAGTTAGCTCGTAGGGCCCAGTAATAAGCAGCGACACGAGTCCCTCGTATGGCACAGTTACCCAGAGGGGGGCAGGGAGATTGTATTATAATTATTATTATTATTGGTATTATTTTTACTGGGTGGAGGTTGCTGACATGGCGGCTGATTCACACTATACCCAACTACAGTACTGGTACAGAGATAATGTACGTAATGTACAAGGAAATCCATTTCGCCTTCACGTACAGAAACCACCTTGTGAAACCATTAACACAATACATGTATCGTTTTTAATTGCTGTATACATATATAATCCTTATCAGGATGAGAAATTAATGGAGCCTCATCAAGAAAATTCTCACTTCAGCTTCAAATCCTTCATACGCTTGAAAATAATAGCAAAATACTCCGCGAAGTCGTCTTAACATGCACTCTACTGGCTTGTAGGTCATGCCAACATCCATTGCCTGTTGGTGACGTTTCCAAAGAGCTGGATGGTGCGCTCTAGAATGATGAACGATCGATGGTTTCCATTATAGAAGCGGCCTCAAATTGCTATCACAACATTCTTCTCTCCCCGACTTGACAAACCGTTGCATCTGAGAATCTTGTTTCTATCAAGATGCGTTCGGGGAAACTGGCGAGTAGCGAGGTTCCCCTTCTTCGCCTTGTCAGCACAGTCGAAAGGCTAGGCTAGATTTTCCCCCGGAGTGAAACTCGAGAACACGCATTTTTTGCCTCATAAGTCGCGGGTTGTCTCGGCGTCCGTGGTGCAGAATGTTATTTCAACTGTCCGCTGATCGGTGGTCTCGAGAATGGAGGCAGATCGGGGGGTCAGCGGGCGGTGCTGTCCGGTAGAGTCCCGGTGCAACGATGCAACCCGCCCCGCCGACGAACTCGAAGATGGGTGTGACCTCAGTCGAACAAAGGCAAAGGCGGACATTGCTCCTAGAATCACACCGGCCACAATGACGGCCATGCCCGATCCAAAGATGTGCGCACTGCTGAGGATGGCGCCCGTTGTGAGCAGGATCACCCCTATAAGGACCAGGGGAGGGCTGAGGATTAATAAGATTACCACAGTGGTCCCAACGCAACCGTAACCATCGTCGTTATCCACGTCAGAGCGCCTGCTACACCTTCGGCTGTTCTGATACTGTCCCGATGCTTCGGATGATAACCGGATTCGGACCTCCGAGCCGTCGCCATAAGGGTCTCCCTCACAAGCGCTGGCGGCTCGGCCGGTCCTCTGACCGGTGGCCGTGTTGTTCTCGGCCTGCTTGGTGAGGAATCCGGGCACAAGTTGCTTCCAATTGAAGGGCATTGTCAAGCCTTTGGTGTATCACACACTGAAGCTCCACCTGCAGAGGGAGATTTTTGAAAATGAACACATCAGTCAGAGAGTCAGTGACTTGGGTAATATAAGCCGAAAGGTAATAACAAAGACTATATGGAAGCTGGTGAAAGTTCAACACTAACATCATCTTGGAGGCTGTGTATAACAGGCTGTCAATAAAATAACTAAATTCACTCGGCAATACTATGTTTTTGTTGATCGCACATCACGTTGGTGCCGGTTGTAGCGATGTAAAGTTGATACCTCTCCTAGGGATCGATGTTGCCTTTGGGCCCTCTAGTCAATCTAAGAGGGTTTAGTTGGCGTCCTCTGCATACTCACGCACACAAGAATGTCCTTATGGCACAGGTTTTTTTTGAAGGGGCGAGACTTCGGTTTCTGCCGCATGGGATGCGTTGCCATGGAAAACAGACAATGGATCGAAATGAGAAAACAGCTTGTGTGTGCATATTTTTAGAGATTCATGTGGCGCATTAGTTACTTTCGGCGCCCGAAGATGTGATTAATTCTCGGGATCTCGTAAGCGGATGGTCCATTTCTCATTCAGCCCCATAAATTCCTTGATTACTGTGGTCACGCGTTCATTACTGTCAGAAATGCCCAAACACAGTGCTTTTATGAAACCCCTGGACCCGAATTGGCCTTTCAGAAGAATCAACTTCGGTTTGAAACAGAATGTTATCGGAAGGTCAAACCCGATAATTCAAAACAGCGTTTCTGGGATCACAAATTGGTCTGAACCAGTATTTTTATTCCAAAGGTCAGAGGACAACTTTAATTGATCTTTTGTCTTCTTTGAAGGTGAGAAATAGAGGGCCATTCACTGCGTTCAGCAGGAGATCAACATTTTTTACATTGTTGCTACAAGCACTCTTGTACAGAGTGTGTGGCGTATCATGCGAAAAGGCTGCAATGACACCACAAGACGCGGCCTGTGCCATTAATTTAACAGCAGGCATTGCTTGATTGTATATTATTGCAAAAAGGCAAGACTTCAGCAAAATCGAAGTCAAGGAGTCGCTGCTGTCTCTGTGATCTAAGCCAGCATCTTTAGAAAAAAAATGTCCCAGAATCATATAATTTGCTTATTTACAGAGGAAGTCTCTCTGTTCCAGTTTCCTCTGGGAGTGTTTATTGAAAGACGATAATCAGTTTGTTATTGATTTCTATATCAGAGGTGCGAGAGCGTATCTCCCCGTCCTCTAAGTCTACAAACTCAATCCATATCTACATTGAAACATTATTACCTATACTGTGATTACAATTCATGAAATGCTGGGCGGAAATCAATAACAGTCCCTGGGCAAGCTTGAAACAGCTGATGTTCGCCTCCAGGGAGGTAGAGGGGGGCTTTGAACCCCTCAGATTAGCCACTTAATCTGATCATCCTCGGAGTGCGCACGGATGTACACTTGTACTTGTTGACGGGTGAAGCTCGGTCATCAAGCCCGCTGGCTTCCCGGCGAAGCGAATCGAGCGCAGAGAACAATTCCGCAAATGCACTTCTAATTCAAGTGCGAATCACGGAAAGCACAAGGCGGCGGCTGATTTCTTCGGGCATGGGGAGGACACTGCCACGGCGTGATTGGTCACGTAGACCATTCAACCGGCGCCCTTTCCCGGTAGGGGTTTAAAACGGTGATTGAGAAAGAGGAGAGGACATCACTTCCGATGCGCTGGCGTTCACACAGGACTGGGACTTCAAAACAAAACGAGGTCACCGAATACCCCTTTTTGAAAATGGCGTGGGTTCCTTTTTCAATTTCAAGGCATTGAACTGGGCGTTGAACCTGATTAAAGTTATGCCCTTGGAGTCCTACAAAAACTAACTGCAAAGTTAGTGTCAATAAGCCCTTTGCGAGTTAAATGTGAATAAAATCTAGTACACTGAGTTCTTTAAATCCACATGAACATAATCATTTGAATTCTCCATACTAAAACCACTGTTGCTATACCTCGTGATTCGGGGCAAGCTTTTGCTTAGTTACATAAAAGACCCCTTGCAACAATACACTGCTTTCAGTGGATAAGAAGGGCTCAAAGGAACCAGTCCATTCCACAGATGGTGGTCGCTGTGCGAAAGCTTGCCTCGAATCACGAGGTATAGCAACAGTGTCCTGAGTCTGGGGAATTCAAATCGTTATGTCTATGTGCAGTCAGATAACTCAGTGCACCAGATTTTATTCAAATTTAACTCACAAATGGCATTACGAGGAAACATCCAAATTTCCCTCCATGAAGCATGTCTCTACCTTCTAGCCAATTACTTTTATATTGAATAATGTTTGATTTGTTAGATGTGTGTTTTTGTTAATTTCATGTCGTTTTGATAATTCAGTTTTTACTTGAAGGGCTGGACTTTGTATAACTCACTATGTAGAACTGATATTACCGGAGGACATAAAGGCAGTCGCAGGCATACCCATCACTTAAAGTTATGCACCCTGCTGTCTGATACCTAAACAATGGAAATATTTGCTTCCACCAAGAGTTTGAAATGGTTTTGTTGAATTCTTGAACTCCTTATAATCATCTGTGAACGGTTGTCCAAGCTAATTTCTACTCTGTTGTTTTACAATCTGTTTTCTTTTTCCTTATCTTTTCTTCTACCATGCTAGTTGGAAAGTGATTGGCTGAAGACTTGTGTTTTCGACGGAGTCTAATATCTTTAAATACATGTAGATGGATATCTATCTTCGACCTCTCAATCTCGCAATTAGCACTTTACCATGGTGTCTGTGAAGTGAAGCCTAAATGACATGTCTGATAGAAGCAAACAGAACCCGTCGCCGTATTTCAAGTCTGCGGCATAAAAGGCCATATGACTTTCCATTTCATGTAATTCGTAGTGCATAACAATCAAAGGAACCGGTATGCAAAGAAAACCCAGGACAGCCCAGGGCCTAAAATAAAGTCTCCCAGTGTTTGATAGAAAGCAAGCTCACATGTACCGTGCCACATAACACACGCTGTTTCGCCTGCTCCGATAGGGCGTGATGGCTTTGTGTTCCTCAGGTCAACTTCCTCGAGAGATTCTTTCCATGAATCATAATAAGAAATCTAGGGCTGTGATGAACAGCTAAAATCGAATATTCAATTATGCAAATGTACTCCCTCGATTCCGCTTGTCATGTGCTCTCGGGTGTAGAGGTTTGGGTTTATTTGTTCGTTTATGATTTTTTTTCTTCCTCTTATTGGGAATGAGGAGTTTTTTATCTTGTTTGTTTATTGGTTTCGTTTTCTCAGGTCTTTAGGAGACATTCGTTATAGATTAAAAAACAAGAATCGTGACCCGAACAGAAAGTGGTGGAAATAATCAAGATGTCGTTATCGCTGTCGTTTCTTTTGTGAAATACTTTGGAAGGTTCGGCGAGAATGGAGATAAGGCCACACGATCATCGCGAAATCCCTCGTGGATGGTCGTGGAGGGCCTCTGGGCTTTAGTTGACCCACAGCTCGGCTGATGGTCGAGATTGAAGAGCAGGATGCTCGCTTCCCAGGACAGAGAGACTGGTCGGTGCACGGCGACCGTTTCATATCAATGTTTATGAGAAATTACAGATATACTGATGCACGTCAGCGGTATGTCTGTGAATACATCGTTTGTGTATGCCTCAGAAAAAGTGTATTCAAGATGTATGGTAATTATACCTATATAGACAAGGATAAATTAAATTGAGTAGAAGTACCCTGTAGTGAGAACAGAGCAGCGATGGAGGTGGCGTTCCTGATGGTGGTGGTTTGTCTTGATGTGGATATAATGGTTCTGGTATGGTGCCATTGAAAAGGTCACACTGGTAATGATTTTTGGCAGATGTTAGGTATAGCGGCCGACAGCGGCATATGTCATATCCATGTCTGCTGCCATGGAAACGATGATCAGCGTGAGTGTAGGTTTAAGTTGTTGATGGTAATGATTGACAGTGACTTTTGTATGAATTGTTAGTCGTGAAAATGAAGATATTGACGGGGGTGGCTCTCAAAATCTGGTTTCATCAACTCTGGCTCCCGGGCTATATCATTTCAATGCATGGCACTAACAGTGACGACGAATGAATTGCTGGTTGAATATATCGACGTCTAACCATTTCTGTCGTTGAATATCACCTGCGAAAAAAGTAATCAAGGTTTCACCACTTTCTACCATCATTACAAATGAACCTGCGTACGCAGTTCTCCAAGAACGTGTAACACGGGCCTCAAGCAATCCGACAGTTTGCCGTTAGTATCTAATTTCCTCTTCCTTCCGCTGATTGCAGAGTGAGCCCTTTATGATTAAGACTGGATCCTGAGGCTAATTGTCATTCAGTGCCCCCAAAACGATTCAATTAGTTCAGCCGTCAAGATCCAGATACACGGAACAGTCGTTGCAGTGCGACGACCCAACGTCATATTCAAGTGATGGCTGACGCACCGACAACAACCCGTGGGGCAAGGGTTGAAGTCGACTTGGCCACGAACATCTTTCGGTGGATGAGATCTAGGCTGTTCCCCACGTCTTTTGACTACTCCTACTCATGTCGCTATACTTTAAGTGCTTTCGAGGAGCTTATTTACAACGTTAACGTGCAGGTGGGTATTAGAGTGCATACACGAGTTTCAAATGTACAAACCGTGGAATTAAGCGAGCTCATAGTGGTGTCACCAGAAGCAAACGACCGATCTAACTTTTCCAAGCATTTTTAATGTGTCGTAATTTTGAGGTTGAAATGTCCTTTCTTCCGTTGCAAACATGCTAACCATAAGAAATAAACACAAATAAACATGCATTATAAATACCAGTCTTTAGCTGGACCTGATAAAATATTAATTTAAGTACATTATATTTCTCCTAAAAGTCAAATGATACCAAGCGTGCAATACAGGTTGGTTTTTAATGTAATAGTTTCAGTTGGAAAGAAGCGTGGAATTAATGAGCACAGCTACCGTACTGTATCATACTGTGCGTCTTCTTTAACCTGCAAGACTTCCCGTCTTGGAAGAAAATAATTATGCATATCGCAATTCTATGTTCCTTGAAGGGCACTGCGTATTTCAATGATCGGATCGCAGTTTCACTCGATTTGATTGCATGCTCTGTTCAAGCCAAACCCTGACGCCTCAGCGATTACAATTGCAGCATACGCCAAGGTCTTCGGCGGCCTAACACCAGCGGGGTTAATCTTGATTTTCGAGAAGACATTGCGGTTGGAGCTGAGGAGTTTGCCCCTCGTCTTTACTGTTTCTCCTCGTGCAACTGCGACAAAATGATTCGAAAAGGTGTAATTTGGCCAAGTATATGTATTTGCTGCGTAAACGGAGTGGACCCTGGAACGCTTACAGTCAATTCCCGATGAACTGAATACGTCTGAATACAAACCACAAGTTTCTTTTTATGTGCCTAAATCCCATTCAAGGACTGCAAACCAATCAGTTTAATTCTCAAATTTTACAGCAGTATTTTCCACAGTTTGTACATTTCTATATCCTTTTAAGCCAGACACTTCAAAGAGCACAGACTGACAAGTAGAAGAAGCAAATCTACATTCTGACAAAAATGCATTCAAGAGTTGGACTGTGTCCCTTTTCGTTGAATAGGAGACTTTGAGTTGCTAGTGGTAACAGACATCGCGGTCCTTTTTCAACATAGAAATCATAAGCTTTGCTATTACGATCTCTTTATTTTGCAAGGTATTGCGTGTACTCGGAACTATGCACGCATCCTCAGAATAATGTGTGCATGCTCAGAACTAGTAAAATGGACCCATATTTTTGTTGCCACCAAACGTCTTAAAGTCTCCCATTGGGGTTCATGTTTCAACATACTAACATAGGCTTGATGTCTTTTGTGCCTTCCTCATGTGCTCTTTTTTGACTTGACTTCTGATAAACTAGCTGATTTTACTCTCAGCGCTCTGTCTGATGTCACGTGTCGACGTGACCTATATTGCTGTCGAAATTATCTTCCTAATTATTACTAAACTGTTGAGTAAACCACTGCGCATGTGCTAATCAAGATTAGATGGCTTTCACTCTACAGCAGGTAAATGTGTTACTTTGTGTAGTCAGTACGATGGCACAAATATAATTCTTACGTAAACTGCTAAGTATGAATCACTGTAAAAAAATTTGAAGTATACTTCAAAGACTGCGGACGCAAACTTTCCATCGATCTCGTTGGAAATGTCTTTGGTTTTGCACGAAAAACTATGCGCATCAAGCATTAAAAACCATTCTTTGGGCAGAGTCTATCGACTTTACAACGTGTAACGTAAGCCATTGCCAGGAGTACGTTTATTTCAAACCACTTTCTTGTCAAACGAGCGGGGGAGTGCAAATGACTGGCTGCCAAATTTCGAGGTACACGCCTTGCGCGAAAGACGGCAACCGCGGGCCTCCGTTTGTTAATTGATTCGATTGGCCAATAGGCATCAACGTCACACTCCTTGGGCCCAATTAAAACATTGGGTAACACAATTCTGCGAATTCGCAGACTTGATGCAATCGATGACTACACTCGAGCCCACAGCAGTCAATCAATTGCATTGAATATGCACTGCGTTTTCCCGCCAAAAGACACCCACTGAGTCGTCAGCAAGTGTACCTTTGTCGGCAAAGGAGGACAACGTACAAAACCAAGAGGAGCACCCTGAATTCTGACCAGAATGTATTATACTTATCATCTGCCCTTTAAATCAAGAAGAGACAAACTTGCTGCAGTCAACTTCAGTGCAAATTATGCTTTGTCGTAAGCCATAATCTGTATATTTATTTATAAAATCACGTTTGTGTCCCTTTTACTTCATATTATTTCCAGTAAAGACTCGAAAGTTGACGAGCTTTTGTCACGCTCGTTTGCTCAACCCTTGCTCAACCCAAACTTTCCAATCATTCCCTATGTCAAGCAGTGGAATTTATTTGAATTGTACTCGAGGGCGCAATCCATGAGCTATCAACTTTAAACGGTACCTTGAGTAGATTTATGCACGAACGCGCCACGTCTACAGCCATTCGAATTGATGACACGAGCCGATCATCAAGAAGGAGCTAAGAAATAGAACAGCTATTTCTACAGTGAACTTCTCTCTTGAAAAAATTGCATCATGCCTTGCGATCATCATGATTGCGAAAGTTCCTGTTAAGAGATATTATTTGATGCAATATCATAACAGTGTTGTTCCTAACTTTTGACTGCACTTGGTGCGTGTATGCATATTTCTGTCTTGGCGGGGCTGTATTTTGCAGTGAAATTTAACATTCGATGCTTTGCAGTGATGGAGTGGACTGGGTTGAGGGAGTCGAGGACCCATATTTAAATTTTGTGTCTAACAAGGTTTTTCGCAGTGTTTTTTTGTTTCAAGACTTTACCTATCCGTGAATTGTTTTGTCTGGTATTAGACCCTATGTACTTATGTCGAGAGTTATTCAGAGGCGGCTTGGTCATGATCAACTAGCACGTGATGCGTTTTGCGCGTGTGCAGAGTTCGGAAAGGGATAATTGCCTGTCAAACTGTCAACGCAGGGACTGGATCCTGACGATACGTTCTACTATCCGTTTACAAGCGCATCAACAGTTGAAATGCAAATAAAAACTACCCAGGAAATTGCAAGTGTCACACAAGGACATATATAATTTTTTTCCAATAATGATCTGTTTGTCATTCTTAGATTTCCTGAAACGGTGTAATTCAAACTTCCGATAGGGGTAGGAAAACAAATCCGCAGGGTCTTAGGTGTTTGCTGCAGTGTTCGGTTCGGTGCAAGTTGTGGCTTTCTGGATTGATCAATATTTTTGCACAGGTGAATAAAAGTGGTATGATAGGTTGGAAACAAAATACATGGAGTCTAGAAAATCCACACTACGCGTCGTAGACACTCAAAATCTCTTCAGGAATACGCTTCAGTATGAAGGGATCCAACCGCCTTAGTTTCCATCTCCTCCAATAAAACTCGTCTCAGTTTTTCAAAATGTTAATATTCAAGCTTGTGATACTTTGGTAACAATTTCCTTTTAATTAAGGTTCACTTCCTATTGTTTTATGTTACGGATTTACTCAGAACCTGGGTCGGGATTAACTGTATCCCTATCCTCGTCAAAAACAAAACATCTCGTCAAAAATGGCATTATATTGGCGCATTGTAGACCTCAAAAGTATTATTTTGACCCGGGAAAAGGACCAAGCAAATCCGAATTTAGATTCCGGACCAATCTGAGCAAGTAGTTATGTACTGTCTGTAATGCACTTGAGCGGCATTTTTCAAAATGTATTTTAGGGCGTTTATAACAAGTAAAGAAAGAGAGCTAAATATAAACTCGGCAATGTTTAAACCACCCAACGTTGAGTCGTGACTGCCTTTTTCTGCAGTCGTTGTCCCTGTCAAACTACATTCGGTTGAAAGGCTTGTTTATGGGATTGGCGCCGTTACATTTAGTTTGGCATAAACTTGCAATCAGAAAATCTATTTTGTGGAAGTGGGTCCAATTAATCCACGTTGAGGACAGGACTCTGCATTTCACCCTACATTATCTTTTTGACGATGTGTGAACTCACTCACGGGAGCGTAGGGGCAGCCGTTTCCTAGCACATTTTTTGCATGTATCTTATTTGGCTTGAGGTGACTGCATAAAAATTTCAATATTTCACATGTATCCATTATTTGGGGAATTCGTGAAGAAAGACGAGGGAACAATCCATCGATACGGAGTCTCTTGAAATTAGCCCACTGAAAAAAGTTTGAAGACTTTTTTAACAACTCTTTTTTCGTTTATGGAATGATCCCTTTCAAAGATTTTTTTGGTTGCCTCAATTATGTTGTAGCATGGTAAGCGCCCCCACCAATACCTCGAAGATGCCACCAAAATTTATGCAACCGAGCCCTCGAAAGGCGCAGAACACGCGCACTCTCTCTCTCCCCACTGGAGATGGCATGACTTCATGGAATTGCGTGTATTTCTTACATAGTCATTTATTATCTGTGATTGAAAGGCTAAACTTTGTCCCCTGCCCTTTTGGCTTAGGAAACTTTATCTTAAGGGTAGCAAACGTGAATTTTGAGGCGATTGAAATAAATCATCAGTAAGTGCATAATATGCAGTGATCCGACGGAGCATGCAGGGACTTCAAACACATTTTTAGTTTGAGTTTCGCTCTGCCAAAAATTGGGCTCAGTCTGTTGTCTGGGAGGAAATAATCTTTGCGACAAGTGCATTAGAATTTTCTTTTTTATTTTTTCTTCAAAGAGAACAGAATCTGGCAATATTGCTGCCCTGATGTCTCGTCACATGCATGACGAAAACATGCCCGCCGGACACTGTCAGCAGAATTTCCTTCTGTCGTTGCTGTGGTTACTGGATCGATAATCCGGAAGGCAATCCCGAGGCACAGCAAAGTAGCTTTGCAGTGGATTTACACAGGTGAGTGAGGATTTTATTATTATCGCTAAAGAAATATGGTGTTTCAACCATCGATTGGGTTCTTACAGAATGTAAAACAAGAAACGGTATTAATTTCTTTTTTACGTACTCATTACGTTCGTACTCATTGTGTTTCAGGTTATTGATATGCACTTTAATAATTTGCCCTCATGCGACGATGCTCAAAGAACAAAAGCCTATAAAACATGTACATGACGACAGAAAAAAGTGGAGGAAAACATGTTCTATAACCATTGAAGCCCGAGGTAACTGACGAAACTTTCTCGTTTAGATTTATATTTGGGCATATAGAGGTTTTCAATCACGTGATTTTGACCTTCAGCGTCAATGTACACAGATAAGCGTGGAAATGCGAGCGCCTTTAAAGTCTCTCTACATTCTGTCGTATAATTATGAAACTACTAATGGAAATACCCAAATTCGAAAATACGCCCGCCTCCACGGACATGGTAGCTTCCTGAAATGTCTTTGCTCGTCATGTTACCGGTACGTCTCGTCAAATACCTCTATGGATGCATTTATAAAATCCCTATAGGCCTAAAGATCTCTGGTTGCCCGTGTGCATGGTCTGGTGCTTTAGATCCTAGGTGATTTGGAAGGGGAATAATCTTGTCTACAGAAAAATGGCATGTACTATATCGCCAGATAGGATTTTACCCTAACCGAAGATACCACAGTGTAGTTGATATAAAATAAACACGAAGGATTACTTGCGTTGATTATTCAAATTGCCTGATGACCAAAATATATGAGACTCATCAGGCTTCATTGCAGCATGCGAGACAAGCGACAAATTGCAGGTTACTCCGTAACAATCGCAGGTCGCATTCTCGACATCAGGCCAAGTGTTCCGTCGTTGTGATCTTTGGACTGCGCCGATGCATTCAGGATGGAGATCTTGCAGCAGTACACGCACGCAACCCAGGGCCACCAGGCGACACCAAAAATGTTCCTAGAGTGCATTTGGAGAGCCGGGTTGATGGAATTGGCAAGGAGGCCTATCCACTATAGGTCTCAGTGTTCCATTCGCGTAATTGGGGCATTTGTCTTGCCTAAGTGCCGTGTCACGCGCCGCCCTGGAGAAAGAAGGCCACGTTCATATACTATGAATGTGCGAGTTGACGGATTGGCTCAGAGAAGATTTATCACTCATCTTCATAATACTCTTACGGGAAATCACTAAATCACTTTTTGTATATACACAGCATGTTGTTGTGAGTCTTTATGGCTTCTTTATTATACAAACAGCTGTTATGGAAATGTCAAGCAATATTGTGGTAATGATTGGGGAAATAGCATGATTGTAGGACAAAACTTTCCCAGGTGTGTAGAGAGGTATTAGTGCTGCAGTACTTTAAGGCAACATCACGGCACCTTACGAGATAAAGCTTTTTCATGTAACTTAAATTCCAGACGGCAATGTCATTGCCCACTTCAGCAACCTACCTGCTTCGAATCCGGAAAAGCTCCATATCCCCCCCCCAAAAAAGGGGGGTTCAACATAACTACCGACTTCTCCTTTCCGTAAACCTCTGTTGTAAAGCCTGACTGATAGTGTTGAAATGATAGTGCTTTCTCGTGTACCGAATCTTAATTATGGCATTTTGGATGATAATTCACAGTCACGCACCAAACAAATTTCTCAAACACTAATGCCGATAATGCGTGCTGTGGGTAGCATTAATTACGAACGCACAGGCAGGGAACACAGAGAAGCTTTCTGCACGCTTATCTAAACAGTAGTCAGACGACTGAAAAGGGGTGTTTTTAGCAGGTGTATGTACATGTTGGGATAGGATGAGCGGGTGGCCAGAGTCTAGCTCGTAGGTTTGGGCAGGGTATCGGTAGGGGTTGGGGAGGTTCTAAGGTGGGTTTTGTATGGATGGGGGATTTTGCGCTCTATATACCACCCCTCCTATAATGAACAAATTCGCCCAAATCCTAAAAACCATCCGCACAAGCCATATCTTATTCTTAATTCCTAAATTTGCATACACGTACTCGCACGGTCTGGACATGTACTGCCAGGCCAAAAAAAAAACCACACACACAGGAATCACTGGTCGCCCACATCTGTCAGAAGTCTCTCCTGTTTTCTGTAGTGGGTTTTGGATTAGTTGACCAACCTTCAAGGAACTACCGATAATTAATAAACAGGAGCAAAGGCATTCGAAGTTCAGTCAATGGAAGACCATCGTCTCTTTTATTTTTCTGATTCATTGTCCCATTTATCATTGCTCTCAAAGGAGTAAGCAATTAGCAAGGTGTTCCACCCTGTTAAAACCCTTCAAGGAAAGAAAACTGCATTATTTACGACACCTTCATTATATAGGGAATGAGTACCAGAACCAGAAAAACTTAGCTGAAGTTACGCATCTTAAGCCAATCGTCCGTGGGGCATAGGGAATTCACGATATACACACCATAAGGTTTTTTTTATCGGTTTTAGAGAGAAAGCTACAGATATTGTAAGAAAAACACATCAATGTCAACTCGCTTTTTTACGTTGTAACTTTGAGTGTACAGACACTTATAATAGATTGCTTTTTGTTGTAGTCGAGAGTTTGCTGCGCTTTCGCAATGAGCGTATTAAATGACATTACCTTAACAATATTCTTGAAGGTAAATAAATACTTATCGCAATATCGGATACTTTCATGAAGTTATTATGATTTTTATCCAATAACAGTTTTCAGATTATGTTGCACTCGTACATTGTCTGGAGGACTTTTGTGGTTGAATAATTGAAAAACAGATGTCATAATTATTTATTTCTTTGGGGAACTTCAAAGTAACAAATCCACTGCGTTGTCCCACTAGAAACTGTTCTGCTGTATTCACTGCCATATTAATCCACTCCAGCCAATTTACGCCAGGCGCAGTAATTCTGTGGCAGGCGCTGATATCTCGGTTTGGCTCGCGTTGGGTCCAACTACCATGAGAACGCTTACATTTCCAAGAACATCCTGTTTACGTTTTTTCTTAATGATCACTAACTATGCTGGAGAGCAATTTTTTTAAAAGTGGGGTCTTATTAATTTTGGTGTGCTTTGCTGACTATGCTATATTTAGGTGAGTCTAGATGAAAATAGAAACGCCAATCAGCAAATAATAAGGGGACTCAGTGTTGAGGACGATTGTTGTATTTCGTTAATGGTGCATTGACATTAAAATATTCGCACATTAGATATTTTGATCAGGCCAATTCTGTTATACTAAAATATATTTGAGTTTGTCAACATTAACTGTTAAAATAGGTCTTAGTTTGCGACGTTGCCTTCAGTTCCGTATTTTAGAATGTCAAGATGGAAGGAGTGGCTTAGGTGCCCAGGTGCAAGAGATCAAAGGTCTTAATCGAAGCAGCGCCATTTGGAATCCCAATATCAGAAAATACGAGAATTAACGGTTTAACTGCTACATTCTCAATTATAAGTTTAATTTGGTAACTTTTTGCACTACTAAAACTATGGTGTGGATTTAGTTCTGATTGTATTTCACCTTCTTTGTGAAATAAAAAAAACATTGTTTTGACATTTGTATGTTCGATTCGCCAACTTTTAGGAATTCCCTTCCCCCCATTTAAACAATGCTGGTTTTGGTATTGCGTGAATAATTGTATGTATGTGATGGATTATATTTGATGGGATATTCTAATCATTATAACTTTCAATATCTCTGTACTATACAGCTATGATTACGGTGTCAGCACGGTCGGATAAATATTGTGTCGGAATCTGACTTGGAGTTCATCGTCGATAAAAACCAGACGCCATAAGGAGAGATGGATCATGGCAACAGTGGTGACCAAAAAAAGGGTTTACCAGGCAGCAACACGAACAAGCACTCTGGCACGACATGGCAACATATTAGCAGAACTGTGAAACTTATATTGTCATATATGTATCAAGAAGCCATACAACCAAGAATGGATAGATGCCCAGGTATGCGTAATGGAAATGCACTATTCGGTCCTGGCAGAAAATAATTGTCTAATCATTCACTGATGGAATGCTCAGACTGTGATGCAATAAAATCAGTCTATCGTTAAAGTGTTTAATCCTTTCAAACTGATTTAAAATTATATCATTGATCCGCAAAATTGTGAGTAATGTCCAATGACAGACGAGGGTTAGTGTACAATTTCACAATCACCCTTTGAATGCTTATGCTTAGAGGCTGTTGTTCAGCTTGTATCTTTGTGAAAAAAATCATCCCATATAGGAAATGAGAGACACAAAATTCAACATTAATGTAGATATCGACTGATATAGGTCATCCGACAGCACAGAATTAGATAGTTGTAAGTGAAGGAAAAATTCACGGTTATATCATTCCTTTGTGAAAGCGTGCAGCTTGGTGATAGTTTTCATCGATACAAAAAAAGAGCTTGATATCAGATCCAGAGAGCGCGGTGTTGGGGCGTCGTGCGCATTATAATAGAGCCACTCCAAGTGGTACAGATCTGTCGTAAAAGCCCTTTCCTTCCTGCTGAGTCCACGGCTGTGTGTTGCCGCAGCATTTTTACAGCAGGGATGCAGAGCCACTGTACAAACCCACTGCCAAGAATTTCAGTGCATTGAATATCGGTACTCAATCTTGCCAGTCTCAAATCGAATTGTCTACTCACGGGCTTCAATTTAATTCCCTTTATCTTGTCTTCTGTTACCTCGTGATTTCCGGCGAACAAGATAAAGGAAGCAGTAGCCATTAGTTTGAAGTATAGAAAATGGTCATTAATTATTCCAGATTATACGTTGAGATGGAGATCCACGCTTCCTCTAACCCGTAGGTGAGGAGTGGAAGCCATCACAGAAGCGAAGGCTTTGGAAATTTGTCTATGAACTCCCCACGATGAACGCGGAGTAGGCCTCCACATGACACATGCGAGATTTAGATACATGTAGTTGCATACAGAAAAAGGACGGTCTCTACAATATTGAAAGACGGTGCACAATAATGGTTTTTACCTTTTTTTACCGTTGATTTATACGTGTAGGCGATATAACATTTTGTGTTTCATCCTTTAAATAGAGTATTTTGACTTACGGTGACAGACTTCATTTTAGTGTGAAACATGTATAGAAAAGATAAGGAATAAACAGCCAGTGTCAAGGCCAAGTCCCAGGCAGGCTTGTAAATAACAAGCTAAAGCAGGCATGGATGTCTGTTCGCAGATAGCTGCCGATGTCGTCTACCATCAGATTGCTCCGTGATGTCAACGTGCATCTACGTCCATCAGGTGTTGCCACACGCTGATCAATCTGAGGTGCTAATTGATTACGTTGAAAGGGCAAAGTTGTAGAAAGGATCTCTTCTCATGCAGTGGTGTTGCGACGGAGGTCTGTTATCACGCGGCAATAAACTGGTGCCTGGCAGAGCTTGCTAAGGGAGCTTTCTGCGTGGAACCCTGATTAGTTTTTTTTTTCTTTGTGAACTTACATCTTCATTTTCGTTCTGAAACGCGCTGACAGGATTTTTAATTATCTTTTCTGTGTAGGTGAAAAGCTTTTCATTCTCGCCACTGTGGTAGCGCGGCATGATCGTCAGTACAATCAAAACTTTAATTTAAGGCAAATACTAATAAACACAGTTGACAGGTTATCTGCGTCATGAAAAATTATTTGGTCGGATTTACGGGTTGTCTTTGAGAAAAGCACGGTTTTCCCGCACGATTCCCCCAAGGAATGTAGGAAAAGAGAACGGGCCAGGCTGCCTTTGAACACGCCGTGTTATTTGAAACGCCCTTGGGGCAACTGAATGTTATAAGGATCCTTCAGTTTACCCAGTACGGTATATTCTGTTTTTACCTTCCGAGCGTTTTCGCGGCAGTCTTGCTTTATTGGTTGGTGCGGCGATCCCGGAACGATCTCAGTTTCAGTTGATTAATTACTTCATGGAGTATGACAGTCTCGAGGTAGCCTGTACTAACAGACTAGACCTGGTACATATCCAAATTCTTCTTAAAATAAAATGGTAATGAAAGATTAATTTCCTGTGAGATTCTGAAATGTCCATAGAGGGTCGTAATTGCAGTTGAATACCTTTCATGATTTTGGACATGACAAGGTGCTTTGGCCAGTCCAAAGCACCGAGATGTCTCAAGTTTCATTTTCATTAGTCCTTACAAGTCCATCGTGACGCTGTAAGTCCCTCACGACTCTTCACAAGTCCCTCACGAGTCCTCAGAAGTCAACCAGAAGTTATTCAGTCTTCAATCAAGTCACAAAATATTCAAATGTACTGTGGCAAATATGCCGTTGTCGTTCTTCATCTCCTATTCTTGTGACACGCCTTTGTATAAAAGAAAAGCTTATCATTCCAACAAAACAGTTTCTCAGACACACGTGTTCACGTGTTCACGTGTTCATCTTGCTATAGCGTTTTATGAGTTGGAATACTTTTGTTTATCAAATCGTAGAGGGTCCATTGAAACAATGTAAAAACTTACACAGTCTAAGTGTCACGATCAGAGCCCACTATGCGCTCGAAATCTTATTTTCGAACGTTTGCAGTTTTGCTTTGACTATACATGCTTTACAGAGATTGAATTTTACGATTTCCATAATTTCCTCTAGCGAATATCGAGTGCACACTCTGTGAATTTATAGGTTTGATTTATTCCTCTTTCCTTAATCCCAATTAAGGAGTATTTGTTCTGAAATTTTATTGAGGTGACATGTTCACTGTTATGGTTTTAGGTTATTAATAGCACAGGCACCATTTTGGTTCATATTCATATATGGATATTCATGAAGCTGGTTATTGTACGCCCCAGTCACAAAGCGGCGGGTTTTAATCGAATTCCTTTCCTATGGATACTTGGGACTATTTCCATGTCTAATTTGGTACACCGGAAATATTTCAGCGTATGCACACGCTCCGCCGGTGCGCCTGAGACGCCTAATCGAATAAATCCTCGTCCGAATAGTATTGCATTTCCATCTCACACTGTGAGAGCCTCCTAACTTAATTAGGAGATGGGTTACAAGGTGGGACATCGGTGATACCAAGCATAGTGGCTTGGCAAAAGTTGTCTCGACCTTAGCGAGTGTCGGCAGTTAGGACAGAAGGGAATTAATTTAGAATTCTCAAGTAACGGTATCTTTACAGTGCTACATCGAAGACATTCAAGAACGTGTATGAATGAATAATATACGGTTTTACTCCGTAATTCCTACCTATCAACCAACTTTTTGGTGAGAAAATTACAAGGTGAAATTTTCGCATCTTTCATTGTGCCTTCAGGGCAATCGTATTTGTGATGTTGTATATAAAGCCATGTTCTGTATCCTTCAAAAAAATTCAATTGTCAATTTAAGCCCACTCTTTGAGACAGGACGTTCATTTGACACCTCGAAACAGCCAGAATAGACCCTTTCACCTTATTCAGTACAGGTTTATATATTACTTCAATTTACTTTGACGTGCGCAGACGAAGTGAAATAATTAAGTGCTTCATTTACTTGCATGTCTTGCCACACAAAATTATTAAAATTGGTCTCTTAAAATGGAGAAGGCAAAACACCAAAAGCGGTATAGATTGTACATGTACTGTATATATACTAGTGCATACCATTGAAAACTTTCAGCTGGATTTCATTTCACATTACCTTGAAATTCAATTGAGTTGGCGGTAATTTAGTCACGATTCACTCCACGGCTGCACGCAGAGACGCTCCAGTTCATCGCATGCAGCTGTTAATCTGTGCACCTTGATGGCAAGCGTTGGAATGAACAAAGAGTTTGTTGGCAAGTGTCTGCAGAGCTGATAGGCGCAGAGGAGAGAAATGGAAGTTTAGAATTTGTCGTGCTTTCCTCAAGACTGGGCAGTGGTCTCCCTGTCGATTCAACTCGAGGGGCATTAACAATGGTTTGGCAACCAGGCCCGAAATTGATACAGAAATCTGTATCTGAGGTAAGGTACACTTCAAAATATTGGTACGTCTCGCAAACGGTGTAGTTCCTCCTCCGATACCTGGAGCTGCCAAGCAGAGGACAGCAGTACCGGGCCTTGTATGACGATTACCCCGGAAAGGTCTGTCATCGACCCCGGCGTTTTCATCACAAATTATACTGGTAACTAAGGAGATATCTTCCTCAGATGAGTGCAGGTAGTGGTCACGTCTTTTCCCGGTCCCTGTCGCAGTTCCCTCTCTAGATGGGTATATTAATCATCGACGTAATCAGGCAGTGCCAAGTTAACCACATGAGACAGAGACTGATGGCATGAAATAATGCACAAGCGAGTCCAGAGCGGCGTTTCCACCTGAACAAACGTAGCGGTGTTGCTCTACGGACCCCAGGAGCATATAATAATGGAGAGAGCAGCGAGAGCAAGAACCTTCGCTTGCATCCTCACAGCTCGATAATGACTCGTGTCTTATTTTATACCCGCGAATGTGCGCTGCTTACGCACTATGTGGTGAGTGGTCCCATGCACAGACTTCTGCACAAGCGAGAAATCCAGATTACCGGCCGGGGGGATATGTCCCCTGGTGCCCAGCACTCGTTGTGTATAACGTTTCTGATTGGCGTGCAGTGCTCCAGTTCAATTGAAACATATGACATGAGTAAACAATACGATGGTGAGCAAATTAACGACTAGCTTCTTTTACCTGCCCATAAAACACGATTATGCCACAGTACAGTATGCCATGGCTATTGCTAGTTGTCAGTGCCAATTGTTAACGATCCCCTTTATGTGTGGGGCATTTGTTTGCACGACAGGTTTGTTCATTAACCAGTGATGTAAATACAACACTTGATCTCGTTTGAAAAGTGGTAGAGGTATACAGCAGTAAATTTGTCAAATTCAGTCGACGTTGCGGGGGGGTTACATCCACGTCCCTACTGTTTATTAAGTGTTGTAATGAGTTCTTTTGGATATCAAACGTTGTGTGGTTTTACTTAGCAAAGCAGCCTGAAATGGACTACCGTTTTACTGTTTTTTACGGGGCAGCGTGTGATAGACTGACACTATACCGTGTGATAATATGTAGTGCTCCTGTGCGTGACATAGACTTACACTGTGCGTGAAATAGATTTCCCTCCTTTGTGAACCATTCACTTCGCCTAGAAATAAACTATACATAGCGTGCAGTGAAAGGATAACTTTACGTTCGAGACCTGATTTGTTGGGATTTACACTGTCGACATTTTGTGATCTATTCTTTTGCTTGAGGAACAAGTCACCATGGCTATGAGGAGGAGTGCGTGGTTGGAGAGAAAAGCCATTAAAAAGTTGGCTTAGCATTTTACTGTGACACTTGCAAGGCTTGTATGCATTTTCCACTCAAACCTATGTTTTTGAGAACCCTCAAATCACAAGCCTCTTTTGACTGCCCCAGGAATATTGATGAGAGGTGATATTAAACATGGTTTGTGATTTTCAGGTTACAATGGATGTCCTTCCTGTTTGGGCTTTGCTTCGAGCTAGGCCTATATCGTCTTGAAGCTGCGTAATTTTTCATCATCCCCCAAAAGTAAAGAAACGACAAGTAAGTCTTCGTCGTGGTCAAAGAGGGCGCTCTCACTTGGGATACAGAATATTCATAACTTAAAGCGGTAATATCAGAATGTTTAGGTCTTCCTGATCTAAAGTTTTCAGATAAAAATTTTGCTACTAGCCTTCTGAGATCTCTTTAAAAAGGTGAAATCGCGTTCGAGATTCTTGGATTCCACTGTCCGAAAACCGGTTGAATTTAAAATTTATAATTAGCCTCCCTTTATGGGCGTGAGTCGGTAGGAGAAGAGAGGGCACCCCCCCCCTTTTTGTAAAGTGGGGGGGAGGGTATCATATCGTTTGTCCCACTCAATTTTTCTGGACCCTGAATAAAAACGTGTGGGGAATAGGCTAACATTTGATTATAATTCATATTAGCCGTTCAATAACTCCCAAATTGGTGCAATGGTGCACCTTAAACTCAGGAAGCAGGACACTTAAAACAGTTTTTTATTCACTTTTATTTAACTTATGAGGCTTTTTGTTTAATTCTTCCCTTAAATGCATTGTTTACTTTGTAAATGTGTGTACCTTGAGGGCTTTCTGCTTTGCGCTAGCATTAACTCTGATGAAGATTAAGACAAGATCAAGACGACATGTGGTAATTTCCCCCTGCACGTGTCATTGACTCCCATTAAATTTAGGCTCATGCGTACATGCCGACCCCGCGCATTTCCGGATGTTTTGACATTTTGTTGTGTTCTGTACGTAGGCCTACACGGAGTCCATGGGCGACATCCGGTAAATGAAGACAAAGGACGGGATATTTTCCGAAACCCTCCTCGTATAACCTTTTGTTTACACCAGTTTCTTTGGCAGTTTTACTTTAATGAAATTAATCAAACAATTTTGAAAACCTTTACTATTTTACAATAATTAACTGTTGTCTGTTTTTATACTTCTCCCAAAGAAGTTGCTTGTATTGACAAGACTTGAGCCACACGTAAAATAAAATATTCCCCACAATATTTGATCGTAAAAAAGTGGTGCGTTACCATTGACAAGAATACAAATCCAGCCTTGTTAGTTTATGAAGTATCTCGTTCTGACTTGATGATCACTTTAGATGAAAGATGTGGTATGAATCAGGAAACAGAATTAAACTTTTAGAAGTTAATTACTCTCTTGTGTAGGTTGAACTACACTTTTGGAAATGGTTGTGTTCATTCCAAGATTAAGTTCTCTTGCGAAATCATTTCGATTCTGATGATGCAAATGTAGCGAAAAGATTATTAACCTCCTATTATGAATTAAGTCGACGAGGTAAATTGAAGGATAATCGAATAATCTAGGTTTTTATACATGCATGGGGCCTTTCCTCGATGTGTTCTTTTCACGGCTTTGTTCAAAGAGAGGCTGCACTGGCAAGCTGCTTAGATAGATACGCTTCAATCCATTGTAACAATACAAAATTTTTGCTTTACAACTGCAGCGATCAAGTGCAGAAGGTCAATAACGGAGTGATATTACATTTCGCTTGCTATCACATCTGTAGGAGTTACTATCCAGTGCCTTGAGATGGTTTGGATAGTGTGTATCCTTGAGCCTCTTTTTACAGAAATGTGCTCCCATGTATTGAACTCAAGCCAATTCAAGTTCCTCCTTTGATTCTGACACTTGGTTAACATATAGAGGTCTGGTATAAGACCGCCCAATGGAAAGTGCAATCTTGACGATGAACAGAGCGCCCGCCAGAGCCAGGAGCACGACTGAAAAGATGGAGTTGCGGCTTCCTATGCTCCAGTTCCCGGCTATGCTGCCAGAGAGGGCAAAGATGGCCACCATCCAGACAGTGTAGGTGTAGCGGAGGTACTTCTCAAAAACGATGTTTTCCAGTACGAAGTACACCAGGACCTCAACGAGGAGGATAGAGAGGCTGACGGTGCTGGCGTCGGATTGGCTCATCCCTCCCCAGTAGCGGAGCACGATGGCAAAGTTGATCAAAGTCGCTATGGTGACCCAGGTGGCGTACGTGGCAAGGCCATTCTGGATGATTATTCTCACGGCGATGAGGTCAATCCTAGTGTAAGAGCAAATACATCAAGGATCATTTCCACACTATTGCTGTGCATTGATCTGTAGAGCCTACCTTATGTGAGGTGTCTCACGAAGCACGTGTTGAATTGACAAAGATACTGTGCCCTTTCCCGTGGTTATTGGGAAAATAATATGGTTACACGGATCATATAGACCCTCGGTTTTGTTGGCAAGATACTGTATGCTTAATGTCAGCATTTTATTCAATGATAAGTATTACTATTACTCGCCTATGGTTATTCCTCAAGTTGATGCCGGATTGGTCCACCAGTCGATGATTGATAATAAGCACCAGATAGAGCGTGAATGGCAGCAGAGCTAAAAGCGCCACAGCCACCGGCATCAGCTCTCGGTCCCACACGAAGAGCCAAGACACATTAATACCCAGGTTGAGAGTGTAAAACAGCAACATTAGGGAGTTGATCACGGGCGGATTGCGGTAGACGGGGCCTTGGTCGTTGCGTCGGAAGAGTGAGATCAGGAGATACAGAGCGAAGAGACCCTCGAACACGTAGATAACAGCCCAGATGGAGAATGTCCATCCGGCCGGTGTGATCTCCATGTAGTATTTGTCTGAGATGTCTCCAGTGATGTTCAGGAACCAACCTCAAGATATAAACCAAAAGTCTGGCTTTATTTTTTTTTTCAACATTTTAATTGCCAATTCGAACAAGTCAAATCAGAGCGGTAACAAAGCTAACGAAAGCATCGGGGACCTGGCCCTTCCCCCACCTTGTGATGGGCTTACGGGGACTTTTAGGGACTTGTGATGGACTCGAATACAACACTGACATTGTTCATCTCATGTTCTTATTATTAGTAAACCCTGACGTGTCTTTGGACTAGACGTTTCTCTGAAACACTAAGTCGGAAAACCGACTCGACTTACCAATTTCGATACCAATGGTAGTTGAGAAGGCGTTTATGACCAGTGTTAGGATAAGCGCAGCTGTAAAAAGTACTGACATGCAGATAAACAGCACGTCGTGTTTTTTGGCTCCTTCGGGATCCATTTTGCTGTCAGGTAGAAGCAGTTGCGACTCTCCACAGTAAACGTCGTTGCTCCGTGCATAAAATCTGTAAAAAAATACAGAGACAGTGTCTGTCCAATAGCACTAGAGCCATAACATCTTAATCAATTGAATGATAACTAAACGAATCGTGGGTGGAAGATACAGATTTTTTTCCTTTCCATACTCCTGGCGTAGGAGGTCACAGGAAACAGTGAGTCCGCTCAGGACTGCCTGTAACGTCATGACATGACAGCCAACTCTGACTGAGCTCTAGATCTGGACGCACCGTCCGTTCAGTTGAGGAATACAGGCGTGGATCTGGAGGTTGGGTCGAACCCCCCCCCTCCTGTTTTTAGACAACAAATTTTGGGGAAAATAACGAAAAATAACTACGGTAAGCGCGCCAATGCCGTTGTAAACAATGTGTGTCATATGTAATGTTTCATTATCGTTTCTGTTTGTCCGCAAAAATGAGATATTAAAAAAATTTTGGCCTACCCCCTCCCCCGTAAAAATTCCTGGATCTGCCCCTGGAATACCATTGATTGTTTCAGACAGAAAAAAAGACGAAATTTTGACACTTTGGTGTTTAATAAGCTTCTGAAAGTGGCTATGGGTGAGTTCCTGTCGCACACAACAGTTATAACCGGTCTGCCTCCTCTTTGCTGGTACGGGGCACCTCTGTTTACGGAGTAAACGCGGTTTCAACTTGCCAGCCACTGTTTCTTTTGCATGCGAACCATTTGTGTCGAGCCCTGTGTAGTTAAGACTTATTATATCTCTTGTGCCAAAAGTGCAGTCTTCCATTAATTGTTGCCGTTCAAATTCATTCAGTCCGTTGTTTTCAGAAGAAAAATCCAGAAAGTGTTAATGAATAGCCCATACATAATTACCAATTTTAAGATTTGTGCAGTGATTTTGCACAGATTTATCCGGGAATAATGTACGATTACAACAAAACACGTTCTAAGAGCATATTAACCACGTAGAAAGTATAATCTAAATTGCAAAAATCTACTTCCATGTATTCATAAAACCAAGTCCTATGTTTTGTTAGCCTCAATGTCAACTTCACTTACTCCACGTATTGACTTTGTTGGGAGGAACGTAATTTTCCGAAACTCAAGTTAAATTTAACTTACGTTGAGATTTAGGCCCCCGTCTGACACAAGAAAATCACCTGCACAATTGCTTATACGACGATGCGTGTGGATCCTCTGCAGTTTCCGACCTTGACTGTGAAAACCTGAGAGGTTCATTGCCTTTTATAAACCCCAGTATCACAAGTTGCATAAATACTTGGAACTTTGACCGTCAAAAAGTTTCATAACGTTTGAGTTATTATTGGCAGTCATTCGAGTGAGAGATAAGTACGTGGGACACAAGGCTCACACAGGGCATAGGGGACAATCCACCGCCACGCGCCACGGTGCTCACCGTTATCGTTGTAGGTGCTCGTGAACAATTTGTCGGAATGATCGCAGCGGTTCTGTACATCTTCTCGAAGTTGATAGTAAATTAAACGAATCATAAAAATGACAGATGACACGTTTATGTACTCTGTCAACACATAAGAGGGTCGTCAAAATACCGCGTAGATTTCAATTTGAATAGCGATATCAGCAATGAAATCCAAGTATGCAGAGTGATTTGGGCAGAGGAACATTATCTGATATCCATTGTTTAAACGATTTAAGTTAAGTTGGAAAACTTATTCTCCCAGCAGTAACTGCTGGGTTGAAGACGTTATAATTTCGAAACTTCACAAAATAATTTTGTCCTAACCCAGCAAGTATTTATTGTCCCCATTAGTGATATGGTGAATGGATTGCTAAGACAAACTTTTGGATTTATTAGAGGGCATTTCTTCAGTTGAGGACGTTATCAATCCGAGTAATTTTTATTGTAGTAAAATGCTCCCGTTTTCGAGTCGTATTACTTTTCATTGCGCTTAATTCGAGAAGTAAAGGTCAGACGATTTTGTGCCTGAAATAAAAGAAGTTTAGGTTTGGTTTACCTAAACATGGTTTCTCATTCAGTTCGGGAGTTTTAATTGAAACCATGACTTTAAATTTTGACCTTTATTAGTGAAGGCATATCTAGGTATCAAGTTTAATGTTCACGTGAGTCAGGTTTCATGCTTACTCAATGATTTAATTTTAGGAATTTTTGTGCATTTGAAACTGACCTGATATTTACGACTGTTTTCTCGAAACCTGATATGTTGCTCAGGATCAGTGACAGAAACAGAACCCTGAACGTTACAGCTGCATTGTTACGTGAGTTGTTACATGAGATACTCGCCCTGAAAGAACGTTGACGTTTACAACCAAAATAGGTTGAAATTAATTTTTGGTACATGACACCGCCATCATGGTTTGGCACTAGCTTTGTAAAGTTTGGGTTGATCATGCTGCGCCACCTTGAAGGAAAATTGCAGAAATGTTTGTGTGGAAAGTAAAGGACCAACGCCCCTTCAATTACTCCGTTGTCATCAGCGGCACCCCCCAAGCCTGGGATAGGTGCTTAGGCGATACAGTTCAAAGTTCAAAGCAAAATTACTTAAGCACGTTGCAGTACACGTGGCCTTGCATGCTGACCATGAAATTTGCGCTTGGGGACAACGCTGTGTAAATATTCTTTAGGGAGCATACAATACTGGCACGTGTGAGAACCTTACGTCGGTTGAAATATCTGTCGCCAGGTCAGCTTACAAGGGTGAGAGAAAAGGGACACCATCAGTTTCTCTTCTAAATAATTATGACCAGTGCCCTTTCCTCTGAATTTTTGGGGACATGTTTTAGCAAGATCATATGCAAAGACAACATAAGGAGGAGTTAACACCAACATCAAGTTAGTTTACCATCTGATCTAGAGTGCTGTAGACTGATACGGCTCGGTAGACGGTCCTGCGAGAGGATGTCGTTGTTGCATCAGCCTTACTAAAAAAAAAGTTGAAATACTAAACAGCATGCACGAGCAGTTTGCTACATTAAGTTGTCGTGACGCTCAGTTCAAAGTTAATGTATGGTCATAATTATGATCCTCCAGCAAACCATGTAAACTGTGTCTCAGAATTGACAGAACCTATTAAAATCCTGTGGCAATGACAGATATTTCAGACTTTCTTCGTTGCAGCAATATCATAGCACTTATGTAAATTGTTGGTTACGTCTTAAAACATTTCAACTGATATCCCATGATTTAAAATGAATGAATAGTTTGTGTGGTTTGTGATGGTACAGCTCTGTACTCTCGGTTACCCCTTCTGATTTCGATTCTGATTTAAATTTTGTGAACAAGATACATGTATAACAATTCTATCTGTCGTAGTACGAATTAGGGTAAAATACTACGACTGAAATACAAAATTCAAGGCTCCGACGAGTGCAATTTGAGTTCACCAAAGGAACAGAACATTTCAAGGGCAGATTCATCAGAGCCAGATTTTTGAGGGAGGCCAAATTTGTTTCAGGGGGGAGGGGGACAAACAATTTGGAAAGTTTCTTGCAACCTTTTACGGCCTTGCTAAGGGATTGAGACTACGTTGGGGTATTTTTATTTCCACACTTTGGAAGGTAAGAATGAAAAAGACCCGAAAAATTACCCTTCTCTCTCATCATTATTGGCTCCATTTTGAGGGGAGGCATGCCCCCGCTGGCTCCCAGATGAGCCCTTGGAACGCTTAAACATCGATCTTTGTCCATCACACCGCCATCAACTTTGTGCTATAAGCTCCAACTGCCTCACAGACGAGTCAATTTCCACCGGCCTATAGGCCAGTGGGAAAAACTGTTGCGCGCGCGAGCTCAAGCTTGCTCATGCTGGAATTACTGCGGCAGTATCCCGCCAGAGCTATACTGCTTGATGGTGACCCTACCTCGATTGGATGGTGATACGGTGCCAGAAGACTAAACTGCCGACCTCTGTGGTCGACTAGAATGGGAGACTTTAACACGCTTGGTGGCGACCATAGAGATCACACTTATGATCAATATGGTGACAACAAACCAATCGGTCCTTTTACCAGTTCTGAGCATGCGCGCGTTCTGAGCATGCGGGCTTGAAATTATGCACAAGTTTATGGTAATGGCCGCGGCCAGTTCACATGGAGTTGTATTTTGATGTCTGTATCTTGAAAAGGGACCGGTATGTCTGCCGCTACCAGCGTCTCAAAGTCTCCCATTCCATAAATGTGACTGACACGTTCGGTTCGGTTGCGCAGTCATCAAGGATAGCGATAAAACAGATGCGCATTGGGCAACATTCGCCTCCCCGGCCGTCGTCCTTGTGCTCAGGATGGCAGCTTAAGTCTTGTCTGACCCGTTGCAGAACGTAAATTTCTTTGACCTTCCGGATGATCACCCAGAAGCGTCACCTTGATGCCATTGAAACAAATTTCAGTAACCTTGGAGGGGTGACATATTTTGGACTAGTGCGTTTTGCACAAACTGCACATCTTCAGTGTTTTAGGCTCATTGAGTGGGGTTGGCTCCCCTCCTCTGGTGAGTCAGCTAGGGTCTGTGTGACCTTTTCAATAGAGCTAGTGCGTGATGCCCGTTCGAACAACGTGTAGTACGCCTGATCCTTCAGTACAGCACTTTTAACTCGGTGCGCTTCAGGAGCAAGGAAATGTTTTGGGGGCTTGAGTGTGCATGCCCACCCCGGTCGACTGCTTGTGGTTTGACACTACATGTTTTTTGTGTTGTTCGATCTGTGAAGGTATGGAATCACCGCAGAAAATTCTATCAACAGTCGAAATGCGGGGATCACCGTGTGTTTACGATGTATATGTTTCAGATTCTGTGTTTTCAGCTACCTACATACATGGGAATGTCACCACAGTTAACTTGTCTGTGTTTTATTATCAAGAACTATTTTTATTTCCAAGTATTTTCGTCACCATTGGCTCTATAAAAATTTCCGACTTTGTTAACGGTTACTTAATAAAAACCCTTTACTTAATGGCTACGAAATAATAACTGGTGCGGTATTACATTACAAAACAAAACACTGGAAGTTTCTACCTCGGAAGGTTTAAACAAATATTCATTTGTCTGATCATGCGAGTCAAGCGAAAGACCATTATGCTTATGTTGCATTAGACTCAAAGAGATCAACTCTCTGCCAGTAAATTGAAGGTTAAATTACGCGTAAAATATCCAGTGTAGGCCCCTAATACAGGCAACGTCAGAATGTATAAGAGCGGCAGCCACTGTTCTCCAAATATCCTGGGTTTGTACGTGCATGAAATCTTTCCACAATGGGCTCTTTGCACGGTTTGGATGAAAGACAGGTTGGCAAGCAATCACTTGAACTGGCTCTGAAATAATACTTCAGCAAACTACATCATACAGTAACGAAATAAAAAAAGTCTGATCTAAAACTGCAGCTTTGCTTTTGTTCCAATATACCGATCACGTGCAAGGAGCTGCCAATGTTAACTGCAAGAGGTATCATACGACGATTAGGGGTTGTCTTGTGCGTGAACTTTACAGACACAATGTATGTACATGTATATTTGTGTGTACATAAGACTACACAAATAAGTGCGCCGAAGTACAGAACTCAAGCTAATGCGAGATCCTGCTTCGATTGTGACACTTGGTTGACATACAACGGCCTGGTATAAGCGCGCCAAATGGAAAGGGCAATCTTGACGATGAACAGAGCGCCTGCCAGAGCCAGGAGCACGACTGAGAAGATGGAGTTGCGGCTTCCTGGGCTCCAGTTTTTGGCGACGCTGCCAGTAAGAGCGAAGAGAACCACCATCCATACAGTGTAGGTGTAGCGGAGGTACTTCTCTAAGACGATGTTTTCCAGTACAAAGTATACCAGGACCTCAACGAGGAGGATAGAGAGGCTGACGGTGCTGGCGTCGGATTGGCTCATCCCTCCCCAGTAGCTGAGCACGATGGCAAAGTTGAGCAGTGTCGCGATTGTGACCCACGTGGCGTACAGGGCAAGGCCGTTTTGGACAATTATCCTCACTGCAATGAGGTCACCCCTAGTATGAAAGAAATACAGAGATAATTGAATACAGTCTTGCTAATGAGATTTAGATGGTGTGTCCATCAACATGGTTACTCTTTCATTCAAAAACCTGTCCATTATTCTGTAGAACCTGACAATGTGAGCAGCAGGCGTCCCATACTTATTAGCACCCATATAATTGAACAAACGGCCGCGTTTCTCTTTTAAAAACATGCCTTTTCATGTTCTGCCCTTGCAGCCAAATAATGAATGAGATTAGTTGTTAGCAATAAATTCATGATTACCATTACTAAAAAGTTGTGTCATCGCTCTGGGTAACTTTAAAGTGGAAATTATAGCATAGCATGATTGCACGCCAATTTACGAGTGCCTGCTTTTTTTCGGTTCCGAGTGAACTCTTCGAACAAGATGAGCTTTGTATCATTTAGCAAGATGTTGTTCAGCCGCAAAATCTGCTCTTATAAAATGTTACCGTTACTTGCCTGTGGTAATTCCTCAAGTTGCTGCCTGACTTGTTCACCAGTCGATGGTTAATAATGAGTGCCAGGTAGAGCGTGAATGGCAGCAGAGCTATGACCACCAAAGCCACCGGCAACAGTTGGCGATCCCACAGGAAGAGCCAGGACACATTGAGGCCCAGGTTGATAGTGTACAGCAGCAGCATCAGGGAGTTGATCACGGGCGGATTGCGGTAGACGGGGCCCTGGTCGTTGCGTCGGCAGAGTGATATCAAGACGTAGAGGATGAAGAGAACCTGGAAAGTGTAGATGACAGCCCAGATGGAGAAGGTCCAACCGGCCGGTGTGATCTCCAGGTAGTAGTAGTCGGAGACGTCACCGGTATTGTTAAGAAACCAACCTGTGGGCAGACACCAAGGATCAGACTTGATTTATGTCGTGTTTAGAATCACAAGGGCGGCTTGTAGACATTTTCGTTGATCTACCTTAGAGAAGACAACGCGACGCGATATTCAAGTCTGTTGTCACATAAGCCGCAACTACTCAATCATGCACAAGCCAAGCACAGGTCGTCTCAAAAGCTGTTCGTTATCAAAACCATTCATTGTTCCTGGAATACTTTATAACAGTGAGCAAGGACTTGATTTGTACCAGACTGGGAGCACAAATAATACTCTATAGATCAGGACACTTACCCATGTCTATACCGATGCTTCCTGAGAGGGCGTTTATAAACAGTGTTAGGATAAGCACGACCGTGACGAGCACTGACATGCAGATGAACAGTACATCGTGCTCTCTGGCTCTTTCGACGCCCATTTTACTGTCAGGTACAAGTAGAGGTGATCCTTCACAATAATCCTCCTTGCCCAGTTTCATATAAAAACCTGCAAAAGACAGAGACAACATCTTTCGAAAGGAGTGCAAAGCTACATTTAAAATACTAACTGCATTTCCCTTGGGCGGAATGCGCATACCTACCAGTTTATGGCGGAGATTTGTATAAATACAGAGTTATGAACTAGAATTTCAAATACAGGCGCCTCGAACGTTTTCAGTGCGCGTCGTTGTTCGTACGCGTTTGTTGTGAGAGTGTCAATATTTTTCTCAGGAGAGAAAAAGTAAACAAGCTTCGTTCCCATGGGTACGATCTTGCCGCGCCATGTTGGTTCCCACCATGCCTTGCGCGATCTAACTCCTGGTTATATTGTATAATTTAAATATCCCATTATTATTTAGGATATTTAAATTAGGACTTTATTCAGTGTGATTACACTGTGATTGCGTGACGAACAAGAGAATCCGGTTCGTAACTGTGACGCCACTTCAGTTTAAACCATGCCAACTGCACACGTGCACTGCACATGCATTGATTGCCGTTTACATGGAACCTTGGAACCGGAAGTTAACGCGCAACTTCAGCGATTGTCCAATGAGAGCCTGCAAATCGTGGCGCGTCCGCCTTTGTGACGAAGTCACTCACGAACCGGATAGTGGGCACGAGCGTGCAGCATTTGAAATACGCGCGAGATTTACGTTTATGTATAGTCAGCCAGAATAGCACATTCGCTTTCTACACAACCAGGGGCTAGTGAAGCAACGCGCACGCAGCCCATGAAGTCGAGGTTGACAGTAAACGGATTTGGATAAACGCTATTATCATGTATGCGTTCCAATGCAACGCCCAAGTATGCTCTATAATAACGCAGACTATGCGTTATTTTAAGAGTAACAAGTCTGGAGAAAAGTCATCTCCAGGGCTTAGGTGGCAAACGCACCCGCAAAAGTAGCCGTTTTCAAATAGGAAAAGTGCGGATTTTGCTTGAAAATAAACGCAGACAATATCAAACAGCCGCACTTAAAACACACGCAAATTTGCACGCATTTATGTAGGCCAACAGCGGGCTTAAACACTGTTTTCCCGTTGAGTTGGCACTGTAGTAGTTTGATATGGGTGTACACGGGCTTATGTCTACTACTCTACCCGTTGAAGCCTTAAGTAGTAAGTTAGTACTGAAGAGATGGGTCTGGGGTTCCATGAAATTTAACAACCCATGGTTGTTGGGCTGCATCCGAATCTGTTGTCTAGAGCTAGGTCTAGCTCTTCCCTCCATTGGAAATGTGCGGAGACGCGTAGAGAATAGACCTAGCCGTAACTCTGGAAGCCCGTTTCTGACAAGGCCTTAGTTGTCACCGTTGGTGGAGCCATTTAATCTGTTTGTCTCGTCCTTAACCGTATATAGACGCAAATTAAGACCCCACATGGTTCACACTTTTCATAAGGTCTTCCAAACTTTATTCGACTTAGGCCCTCCAAAAATGAAGTAAAATAATAAACATTGCAATTGCAATGAGTGTGGTAACCGCCCTAGTCATCTCTAAAAGAATCCAGCTAAGTATATACATGTATACGCAGCTGGCGGGCGTGGTTTTAGAACGAACAGTAATGGCCTCTTCAGCACTAGTATTTTTTATTTCAATCAGGCCCACTTTACTGTGAAAATACCGGCGCTAGCACGCCAAATGTAAAGTTCGATCCTGCCTTAGCGTCTATGTCAGGCATGCGATGTAAGTCTTGACTTTTTACCTACCTCGCAGCCTTTAAAAAAACACAGAAATAATCTTGGCCGCAAATTCAGAAATTATGACAGGCACGGGATAATTGGTACAAGAATGAACATGACGTGCATGCCTGTTTTTATTAAGTTCCTGTCCTTGTCTCTGAGAAACCATTCAGGGCTCCTTGACTTCTACAACCAAAACCACACGTTTCGTAATCTGCACGAACTTTGACCGACAAAAAGTTTCATAACGTTTCACGTATTGTTGGCAGTCGTTCAGGGTCGCAAGGATAATGCGCACGGGGAAGAAAACCGCGTGCACGTGAGCCGACTGCACGCCACTTGAATGCAGCTGCCATAGCGAGAGCACTGGTGCAGTTAGGCAAACGATTTTCTCACTGTAGTATATTATCATGATTTTGATAGCAATTAAATAACGCGTTTCAGGTGAGAAATTAATTTTCTGGAATTATTTTTTTTACTAGGCTGGGCTGACGAACCTAAATGTCAGCAAGCAGCTGATGTTGCTGCAGTGCTGTTTGAATCTGCAATGACGTTTGCGCTAATATGAATTTATTTTTGTTTTCTGAAGAGATGACGTTCCCTTAAAGATTGGGGACCTTTCATGCAATCCTCCGCTATACATTAAAGCACGTAAATATATCTATACTTTTTATTTTTAACTAAAAAGTACAGATAGGCCTACAGTGATAGAGCAAATGAGTAAGTAACTGCTAGGCTGTTTGTTGGGAAGTCATTTGACTCACTTCCTACAGCAATGACATAAATTCACCATTGGGAAAACAAACATCGAGACAGGAATTCAACCTACAACGTAAAATCGTTTCCTTATTTCAAATGCGTATTTTTTTCTCTATATATAACATGATTGATCATTTGGTTAAGTTTTATGAGAAAATGTATGGTCAGAATATATAGAAAATGTACCCAATCAATGAAAATGAGACATGCACTACAGTTTATCGAACTTGATACGGTTCAACCTCGTTCATGAAACAAAGAGTAATTGCTCCGGTACGACATCTGCTCATAACAAAGAAACCTTTATAGGTCCTGATCCTTAGTTCGTCATTGTTTTCATTCCTGATAATACAAGGTTAGTTATAGCAAGGCAATCTGCAAAGTCCAAAGGACCTTTAACTAATGAGATTCGACTGTATTCACGGCGCCATACTATAAAGGCACACTTACCTCAAGCCACGATACTGCAAGTCCGTCTCTCTAGATAGTGGAAGGGGTAAATGACATCTGCAAGTCGGAAGAACGATGTATGACAAGTTGGTAGCCTCGAACCTTTATAATAGAGTCATTTCCTTTGTAAATACCTCTTGCCCATAAATTTCCACACACGGGACTAATGAAAAGGTGATTTGGTTCACAATAGAATCGATGAAGCAAGGATTCGAGCACGTTGCATTGCACGTGTAGTTTTGGGCTATTGTGTTTTGTTTACTTGGTGGATAAAAGTGCGTTGCATAAGCAAATTTGGGAACAGTGCCGGTACTCCTTGTAGAACGACGCGTTTGCCCATATGAAGCAAGATATGAGACGGAGAGAACCGTGAATCCATTGTTTCAATGGCACTAGCTTCAACGTTCGATTTATATTCCATCATAGTCTGGCGGTCCATTCAGTGACACGCTTTTGGCTGCCGGTCCTAAGGGCCAAAGGGTGGGGATTATTCTCCACTTTCCTGAGAAAATGGTAACTTTATTTTTTCAAAACACGATAAAAAAATCACGTCGGCAGCGCGCCCCTTCTTTTTTGGATCGATTTGGTTGGTTTACTGCGTGTATTGTCTGGTCTGTTGGCTGGAACTTTGCTGGGCTGGGTTTTGTTACTTTTGTGTTTCATATTTTGTGAGTTTTGTCTGTCAACCTGGAATGGTCAATTTGCTCTATATAAGTTGGTCCTCTTCGTGACCATGTACAGCTCTGATCTTATTCTTTCTTTGCTCATCAAGTTTCAACAAGGGCATACAATTAAGGGTTCTAACATTTCCATGAACAATGACCTAGGATTTAAGAGTACATTGAAAACAGTTAAAAGCGGAAAGAATGTCCAAGGAACATTTCTTCCTACAAAATGTCAAATAAAGGTTATGAAAGATTATGGGGTTGATATCTTTGCGTGATCCCTTAACAGTGTTGTTGGCTGTGTTGTCTTTTTGTCTTACTGGAGTAATGAGGATACAAAGTTCAGTTTGCGTTGATTGCGCAAACCATTCTAAGTAAGCGATATTCTGACCTAGCTTTTCTGATAAATATGCTGCATACTTTTCTATACCCCTTGCAATTAAAATGATCCGGAGTTTACACCAAATGGATTTTGTGATTTTGACATTACAGTTCGGATAACCATTATCAGGCAAGCAATTCTGTGATTAGATTAGCATTCATTTCTTGGGTGAGGATGAACGAAGAAACGAAACTTGCGATAATATGGAGATCCTCGTTTTCTCGTTTTCATGCGGATTATTGTTCGATCGTCTTGGTTAACACGGGGATCATATCCAGCTTTCTAAAGTGTTGATCACAAATGGCACAAGTTCGTACATTGCGATACACAAGCACATGTGAAGCCAAGTAACAAAATACATATACACCTTTAATACAGCATGCTATGTAGTATTTATTCATCACTAAATCAGTTAATTCAAAAATTGTTGCACTCCATATATAAGCTAGTTTACAATAGTTGCTTGAAATAGTTTAAAATCATGGAATATTAAGTATAGTATATACACGGTTGACGATGACAAACAGGCGAATACATCTCAGTGAGTTGTGTTCAGTGCGAGACACAAGTTTAAGCTTTCCACACTCTGTGTTTGCTATACAATGGGATCAATATTCTAGTAATCACTGGTGTTGGTCTCAATCACTCTCCTACCCATCATGATGCAATTCATTTTCCTTTGTTTGAGGAAGTAATGTTTGTTGGTCTGTCATTTTTCCCCATGGTGCAGCCGTAAGAGTTTAGATGACCGTTTCTGCTTAGGGTCTGTACTGTGGGATCTTTTTTGCAGCACAGGTAACTCTAAGCCAGGGCCAGCTCCTCTTTTGACAGGGACGTCGATTCAGCGTAGAGTGGGTATGTGAAAGTCCGCCACACGCTCACCACCAGCTTGATCAGGAACAGTGCAAAGGCCAAGCCGCACAGCACGACCGAAAAAATGGAGTTAGTTTTCTCCACGTTCCAGTTCTTGGCGATGCTGCCGATCAGGGCGAAGATGACCACCAGCCAGACGGTGTAGGTGTAGCGGAGGTACCTCTCCCACACGACATTCTCCAGGACAGAATACAGCAAGACCTCCACCAATAGGATAGAGAGGCTGATGGTGCACGCCGTGGACTGCTCCATCCCTCCCCAATAGCTGAGAACGATGGACAGGTTCAGAAGAGTTGCTATGGTGACCCATGTGGCGTAAAATGCCATGCCGTTTTGGATGATTGCCCGGATGGCAACAAGGTCGCCCCTTGTTAAAAGAGAGGGAGAGAGGTCATCAAAGCTTAGTAAGAAAGCTCTCTTAAAAATGAGGAAACATTCAAGTTGAATGAGTAGATCATTATAAAAACTCACCTCTTGTTGTGTACCAAGTCGTAGCCGTGTTGATCCACCAGTCGATGGTTCATGAAGAGAATGATGCAGAGCGTGGTCGGCAGGAAGGCGCTGACAACCACGGCGGCCGGCAAGTACTGGCGGTCAAATAGGAACAGCCATGTCATGTTCAGGACTAGGTTGATGGCGTAAAGAACCAGCATGACCGGGGTAATGACGGCGGGGCTGCGGTATACATAGCCAGTCTTGTTACGCCTGCAGATGGAGGTGAGCCAGTACAAGACGATGAGGGCCTGGTAGGTATAGATGAAAGCCCAGATCGTGAAGGTCCATCCAGCTGGTGTAATCTCTACATAGTAGTAGTCGGAAATTTCCCCGGTGCTATTCAGAAACCAATCTGTGGACAACATCATTTCAAACTGTGAACTTAGATTTCCAGCACTTTTTAATTTGTGGTCCTATACTTGTTTGAATAGGTCAGGACATAGGTCTACACAAAGAAAATATCGCTCTAAGTTGGCATTTTAAGTTTAGCCACACAAAAAGATAAAGTTCGGGGCCCATAGTTTAGACAAAAGATCCCGTCCTCTGTCTGAAGAAAGGGTGTTTTTTTCAATTCTGGCTTGAACCGAACACTCTTCTTATTGGGCAAAAACAAATAAGCAGAACCCTCAGGTTTAAGCCGAGGGTAATGACTTAAACTTTGACCCCCTTTCGAATCCGAAATGGAGTACAGGACTTGATTTGATGAAACCAATCGCTTAACAGTTGTCAGCCTTTGTGTCTTTCTCACTTTGTCTTTATGTACCTATACTGGTTCCGCTGGACCCTATACCGGCCAAAGCGTTGACGAAGAGCGTCATGATGAACTCTGCCAGGACGAGAATAACCAGGCAAATAAACAGCACGCTGTGCTTCTTATTGTCCATTGTGGTGGAAGACACTTCTTAGCTATTCCAAAGTGAAAAGATAATGAGGGAAAACATAACATTAACAGTTTAGTTGGGGTCATTTCTGATACTGCACAGTTTACTGCGTTTAAGTGGTTTACTGCAGAAGGCCTATGTGACTCTTATAATTGTAAGCACCTTAGCCACGACCAAATCGTTTGACGAAAGTCATACATCAGTGCTTCAGTACCCACTTGAGAACAATTCTGCACTGACCATTAGAAACACTTTTCATGTTATACCTTAATCTCCAACGTACCCCGTTGTGCTCGGCTAGAACGTAGCTTTTATGCCAAGTTCATAATAGAAGGCACCATGCTTGGCTGTGGATATTCACGGCGCGCCGCATATTCCCATGCCCCAGTCGTTGTTATAACCTAGGCGTTATATTGCATAGAATACAAATCCCAGCAATTCCAGGGGAGTACCCTTTACCATGTTCTTCCTTGTCAAAGTAAGTAATAACATTCTGCAGACAAGGATGACAAAAACTCTTCAGAACGCTTCTTAAACTCTTCATGTATGCCTCCATGCATTTAGACAGTTAACAAGTTAGGTCGGCCCTGATCAGATAAATTGCATGAACTTAAGAAGACCTTAAATTAAAGATACATTAAAAAGCGTCTTACCCAATTTAAAGTCAAACCTATTCGGAACTCCTGATAGTCCAAAACTTCGGACACACTATAACCAGAACGTTGATGACAAATGATAAACGATAGGGTTTGTAGTGGAGGAAGGAATGCTTGGCATACTTCACCTGCTCATTGTTATCTTATCGTTGTGTTAATGCCTCACGCAGTATAAGGGGTGGGGGTTGATTACGTATGGATGGATCAGTGAACCGTGAAATGGAGGGCTGTCAAAGTCCTATCCACACGTGCCATCACACGTGCATTGGGGATCAGGTAAAGGAGGAAAGTAGACTCGTTCCCGCCAGGTACATGCACCTAAAATTACCCTGTAGCCTCCTTTGAGGACCGAAAACCGAGTATGGCAGAATGACTGTCTGTTATAAGGCGTGAACCCATTAGTTTTGAAATTTCAGCGTGATGAAAGATGGGCAAAAGTGGTAATAATATACTCCCTACTGGTTTTTATCAACTATTTTTGAGTACATGATTGTGAGGCTTTGGAGTTTGGAAATCGGTGTTCAGATCGGTTTGTGGAGTGGAACACCATGTTCAGGCAGTGTTCTGCTAGAACTGAGTGCTTATTCTGCACTTCTTTTAGTATTCTACTACCGCTGAGTGCGGGTTATTCGGTTAACACTTTTGTACATCACTACTGTTGCTCAATTTAGGATGTGGTTTGTTACGACTAGCCTGTTGTAGTTGTCAGGAGATGGTGATATTTTGTGAAATTTAGATCAGATCAAAAATCAACAATCCAAGTGCATGTACAAGATCATTTGGTGTTCTCTTGCTGTGGCTTTGTAGAAGAAACTACACAAAAATTCTTGCATTAGTAAACCAATATGATCCCCAATGTATTGGCCCTGATGTGGCCATTGTTTTTTGTTTTTGTTTTCCATTTTTGTCATCGTAACTCCAAAGGGGTATATTTCCTGTTAAGTAGGTCTACATACATTCTCGTTATATTGCTCCCTGTTCCCCAACTGCACGCTCATTCACTGTGTAAATTTTGCCGTGGTTATAGCGTTCCCGTTAATAACGCTTTTCGGGATATAACACTCGTTATAACACCTCACCCACAGGTTTTGTATCTTGATTGGCCGAAAGTGTGTCATGTGACGCCTGCTAGTTTTACTAAAGACTATACCATGCAGCCTCATTTTGAAAAAGAACTATACCCATAGCAACCAAAGAACTATATCCGTAGCAACGAAAGCATAGGCGTGTATTTCGGCTTATAGCAAACAACATTGGTTAATGAATGTATTCAAACGTTGCTGTTCCGTTTGGAATTCTTGAATTACATTTGATGAATGTAAATTCCAGTTTGGTGTTTCATTAGTGATTTTTAGCTTAAATTTTGCAGACTCTGTGAGGAGGTGTCATAAAACAAATATTGACTGCTTTATCTCGCGGCACAGTAAAACTAGCCTCCCGAGGTGATCCATGGAGCATTCTATTTTCCCTCGGCTTTGCCTCGGGAAAAGAGAATGCTCCACGGATGCTCCACGGCTGGTTTTACTCTACCGCTCGAAGCAGTCAATACTTGTATGCTATTTTAGGCCCCGGGAACCATATTAAGCATGTGAAATGATTCCGGTTACAGCGTTCTTTACCTTGAAAAATCCGATTCTTTGAAAATCGAGGAAATCGCATCGCAAGGCTGCCGCGATTCAGTCGGCCGTCCTCTGGGACACCGGCAGTATCTAGTGGTAGTAAGATACAAGCAATCACACGAAGTGCAGACACACACCCGCCGTACCGTCAGGTACGTGGGTCCAAATGCCGTAGTCATGCAGATGTGTGTTCTGATGGTATACCCGTATGTTCTACAGCCGCCAAAATTGCGTCGCCTCGTCCCGTCGCCCCGACACGACGCTACGACAGCTTTGTCGCGTCGTGCCGTCGCCTCCCTTTGTATTACTTTTATGCTGCGTATAATGCATTACGTCGTGCCGTCGTGTCCTGCTGTCTTGCCGTCGCGTCGTATCGTCGTACTGTGTCGTCGTGCCGTCGCGTCATGCCGTCGACCCGTCGCGTCGTACCGTCGACCTGTTGTGTCGTGGCCTTCAGCCGTCTCGTCGTGCTTTCGCCGTCGCCTCATTACAGGCGGAAATAGGGGGCGTCCTTAGAGACGGAGTTAAGTTCAATACCAATAGATACCGATTTTATGTTCAAATCTTGTAGGCCCGATGGGTGCAGTCCACCAAATTGTTGGATTTCTGCGCGCCTGATCCCACGGGGCTTTTACAATAAGACTTACCATAATCAGGAGGGATCATAGAAAGATTTCTATAAATGCGTTCCACAAAAAGCTCCAAATTGCGGGCCTATTTTGGATAGAGACGGGCGGCTACATTCAGAGCCGAGCGCATAGTTTTATTACTATTTTTGGGGTATCTTCGGGCAAAGGCCAATAAAAAAAATCACGTGGCTAAACCCCATAAAATTGAAACGAAAAGCAATCTTCTTGCCATAGTTTTGAACTTCCAGTGAAAAAAACGAAGGACAACCTCTTCCTGAGATTCAACTGGCTGCGCTATTTCGGACTGTTTCCTGGGGCGCGTATTTGGTGTAGTGTAACCCTATGCACGCACATTATTTTTTCCAGGACTTGTGACGTACGCCCTCTATTGGCCTTAGTAATCACCAGTCATTTTTTAGAAATAGTAATAAGGCACGATACGACGACGCCACGGCACGACGCCATGCCAAGACGGCACGACGCAGTGCATTAAACACAACATAAAAGTCGTCTCTGTCGTATCGTGCCTTACTGTTTCCAAAAATGGCTGGTGATTACTAAGACCATTAGAGGGCGTATGAGATTGAAATGATTTGAAATATATATCCCCAACAGACACGTGATCGTTGATATTTAGTGAGTTACCACACCGTGATTGTAAGGCCATGTTTCTATCATAAGCCGAGACTTTGACCGTGTCAAAGCATTGTCATTGGTGAACAAAAAAATTTAAATAACGCTTCACAACAGGAAGTGATAACCCGCGGTCACAGGTCGTGCACATTGTAGTCAATCACAGTTCCAGGCCACCAGCCCTGCTTCCAAGCGCCCTATTCAGGCGCTGGGTGGCGAGCGAAGGGGCGGGGTCGACAAGGTTGTTTGATTCTTGATGTTAATTAATACAGGAAATTTCCATCTGAATGTTAATTGTTCTGCATGTAACAGCAAGAGAGATGTTTTTGAATCACAAGTGGAAGATGAAATGTAAGTTGTATCCCACATTTTCAAAAAAATTGATAACGGTAAAGGTCAAGTTCTTATCAACACATGTAAACCATACACCAACGCGCAAATACAGGTATTTACCGGTACATGTTCACGTAATGGCATGCAGATATCTGTACATGACTACATGCGCATATATACATATACAGGTACATGTGCACGTGTGCGTGGAGCGGTGTTGAGTCCTGTCCCATGCATTAGCTCTTTTTACAAAAAGTGTAAAATGCTGATCGAAAAGGTGGGAGATCGCATATACCATCCAAAACTTGTTGCAGAAAGGGCTTGGCACTTTTCCAATCAACAGTTTCATTCCACATAATATTCAGGGGACACTATTCGAAATTCCTTCCACACGATCTGACCAATTTGAACAACATAACGATAATTTCTAGAAAATAACAGGTTACGAGTCGTGTCAAACTAACTAACTTTGGTGATCTCAGAAATTGTTTTCATTATTGATACAGATATCAAATCCCTGAAAAAGTTTGTTCATTTAATGATGATTGTGTTTTCAAATTAAAATATCTGCCCAAAGTAGCATTCCCTTGTACTTAAATTAAAAGCTAAAATTTACCGGGCCGCCACAAAACTATTGATATGTTTTCTCAAACCACTCAAAACTACGACGCTTTTGAAACTTTGATTGAATTGACCCGATATTACACTGAAAACTGCACTTATAGTCTAAGACAATGAAACCCAGATTTTTGCTTTTGAGCAGAATGTGACATGTCAGCCCCCAAAGACCTAAACTGTCCAGACGGGACCAAACAGAAAGCAGAAATCAAAATGAAACTCTGTTTGCCAAGCTCAACTTCTTGGAAGATCCTAAAATATTCCAATGTAAACTATGAGATTGCTGATTAGGAATGCAATATATTTGCTATCTCTTTGCACACCCATGCTTTTCATTCTTTCACAGACCTCATAACTAACTTGGATTATGCTTCCTTTATGATTCCAGAATAGCGCAACCAGAACTTTGTGTCCTAAATTAAGCTAAAATGCCATATCCTACGGCGTATTGTGTAGACTAAAAGTACATTTGATTCCAATTTCTGCTTTTGTTTTTAAGTAGTCATGAGCCACAGCGGAAGTAGACAAATGCAAAGTTCATACAAACATACAAACAAACAAACTTGTCCATTGACGTCATGCCAACGTCAAACGTACAGTAAGAAAGCTCTTAACAAAAGAGATCAGATCAACAAGTGTGCTGTAAACCAAGATCAAGTAGATAAAGTGTTTGTACACTGATTGGATTGTTGACTTAAATTATAGGGAACAGTTTGTGGAATATTATCGCCGTCGCTTGTACACAGTACAATGTTTTTCCGGTTCTCATTGATTTTTGTATGCAAGTTTATCAGGCAGGCCAGTGATTGGTTTGATGGAATTTTTCAAATTGTAGTATCAATTTTAAATCACGTTTATTGAGACTTGCGCAAACTTTTATTTCATTTTTTCCTTCAGTAGTCAGTGAATGGTATAAAAACGATAACAGGATCTCTTCTTACCGATTTGATCACTGCCCCTCGACTGGTACATACGCCACCGTCTAGTGAGTAGCTGAATTAGTACTGAAAAAACTAGCTTACAAAACGTTTTGGCATAGCTCGACACAATGACAGGCAGTGAGCTCTCGCGAGTGTTGTGTGAAGTGTGTGATGAAAATGGGAAGCAGCAAGCGATATACAGATGCCAGGAGTGCGACAACTTTCTGTGCGCCGTCTGCAAGGCTGCACACCTATCGTTCAAAGTTCTACGACACCACAAGATTGTCGACCTTAGGGAGCTCTTAGGGTTGAGCGACAGGGCTGGCGTGGCCTTGGACCAACCAGGGATGAAGCTTGCTTCGCTGCAGGGAGACAGATGTGAGAAACATCCAGGTGAAGTCCTCCAGTTCTTCTGCCAAACCTGTCAGAGAATGATATGCTGGGACTGCACCTTTGTGGATCACCCCAAACCGGAACACAAGTGCACCGACTTGAAAGAGGCTGTTGAACACAAGCGAGAAGAATTACTGATGCTGATTCAAAGCTCTAAACAAGTCGAAGCTAAACTTAACACGTCTCTGAAGGATCTTTCCGAGTTAGGTAAGCTGATTGAGTCGGCAGCTATGACGGCTCAGGCTGAAGTGAACCGGACAGCTGACCACGCTCTTGTGATTTCCCAGAAGCGTGTTCAGGGGAAACGGGAGCGTCATCTCCAAGATGTCGTCACTCTTAGGACACAGAGGAAGACAACTGTGTCTGATCGCAGAGATGTTACCCAGAATACTCTGGCGTGTCTAAGGCAAACACAGAGCGCAGCCGCTCGAATTGTAAAAAGTGGATCTGATCAAGAATTGCTGGCGAGTTACACCCCACTCACTGCATCTCTTCATCAGGAGATGACCTCTGCAGAGGCCTTGTGTGGTGTTGAGATCATGAGCGATCTGGCCAAGTTTGAATTCTCCTCATACGGACACAATCCGAAGCAAAGCCCATTACACACAGTGTTTGATACAGGTGCACTTGGTCACCTCAGGGGACAGTGGGTTTTGCAGAGAGAAATTGGTTGTTCAGATGGTAGTAGTGGACTCAGGGGTGCCAGTTCCCTTGCTGTGTCGCGCTGGGGAGACCTGATCGTCGCAGAGAACCAGAGACAGACTGTTCAATTATTTGAACGGAATGGTGAGCGCAGGTTTTCTCTTACTACTGTGGAGAACATTATGAAGGAAACGCGAGTCGGCGTCGATAAGATCCTGGGATTTGTACGAGCCGTGGCATTTTCCAGAGCCGGTCACATCATCATATGCGATTGCTCCAACTTTGTCAAGGTGTTCAGTCGGCAGGGGAGGTACCTGTGCGCCTTCACCACCACAGCTCCAAGCGACAACTGTCGCGGACCGGTGTGGCTGTGCTGTCTTGCCGTAGACGAGAGGAACCGCATCTACGTTGGCGATTGTAGCCGACGCTGCGTGACAATCCACGAACCCAACGGCACTAGGATGCAGTTGTTAGATTGTACGCGCCCAGCTCAGCTGGCAGTCGCCGGCCAATACATAATTGTGCTGCCCGCTGACCCTACGGACTCCATCAAGCTAGTTGACCACGTGGGGAGCACCAAGCGTTCTCTGAGCGTGCCGGACAGCCTGCAGCCATGGCTTCCCGCATCAGTGGTCTGCTCCACCGAGAACAAGAATATCTTTGTGGTGAACGGGCACAAGGATGGGGAGAGAGGCATTCATGAGTTCACCATGGAGGGGGACTATCGGGGCTGCATCGAAAGCAACTTAACACAACCTGCAGGCATTGCCTTGTCTCGTTCCCAAGATGGCGAAGAGCTCTATGTGGCTGATGATACGACAGTAAAGGTTTTGAGAAAGATTTGAAGATCTAAAAAGACAGTTGTATTAAAATTCGGTCAGCCTTTCGAGAGGTTAAATCGAAAGGACTTGTTTTTTTTTTTCAGTGATAGAGGGATGAATGTAAATTAGATATGAGATGAAATCAAGCTAAAAGTTGGAAAGAAACAAAAGTGTGTTTTAGATGGTAATTGATTTCCTTGGAATAGTGTAAGGTGGTTTGAGGTCAAAATGCATATTTATAATTGTCTTAATTACTAGCAGTCGCTTTTTATTTTGCAGATATATAGGATAAAGCAAAAAATTGAGATGGAATCAGAATCATTGGGAATACTTTATCCCTAATAAAATGTTATACAAATAAATTATTTTGTATACTTGTCATTGTACATTTGATGTATGTATTGCTTAATGTAAACTTGGCAGTTACACTTTTGCTGCATTGGTGATTTATCTGTTCTGTCATAAATATTTAAATGTTTGTGAATCTTTTGAAGCCTTCTTGTTCCAAAGTTGAACAGTGCAAGAATTTCAGAAATAGTACAAACCTCAACCTAAGTCATATTATATTGAAATTATGTTGACAAATAAGCCAGTTTAACAGAAGTGGAATTTGGTAAAATTCTTGAATGGTTAAATTAATAAAGTAGTTTCGTGTATTTCAAATTGAAGTGTTTGTCACAATTTGACCAAATGTAATTGAACTCAAAAGCTTTTAAAGCTCTTTAGTGTTTTGAAGCTCGGAAATGCAAATAATAACGAACTACCCTCACCGTAAGTCGAGGTAACTGTACATGTGCATACATCTCTGATTTAGGGATCAATTTGTAAATTTTTTTAGTTGAACACACTGTACTCGTATCTCTGATTAATGTGTCATCTTAGTGAAATTTGTGTACCCACAGGTGTACTGTGTGGGTATTATGTAAATGACTGTAGTGGTTGCTACATGTACATAGTGGTTTAGTTAGACTTCAGATTGATCTGATTTCTGTTTTAAGTGAGGAACGTAACAAAGCACTGAAGTTGGCGAAATACATACGTTTACTAGTGATATTCTGTTTTTCGGGCATTTTTCTTACAACTGTTTCTCTCTACTGTGCCATTAAAAACTGTTTATCATGGGCACCCAACGATGCGACCAACCTCCTCCTTAGGCTGGTCACGTTAGCTGACCAGACTAGTCCAACATCGTCGACTTGCGTGTGTCCTTGATCAAACTTGCCCGTGGCTAGACCTAGGCCGTTTTCCAATACTGAACTGCGGCTCCGTCTGAGGCTTTAACTGTCTTTTACTAGCTGACTTTGAAGCTATAAGCGTAGTAATTAGTCTAATGGTGCCGCAAAACATCAAATAGGATGCAAGAGGGCCACAAATTACAGTAATCTAGATTAATTTAAACGCTTCAGGCCCACAATCGGGGATTGTTTTGGGGAATGAAGCCTGAGACGCAGCCGAAGTTGAGTATTGAAAAACGGCCCTTCTTACGATCCGGTTTGTGTCGTGGTAACGCCCTCTGGCGGCGGCGGATTTGTGAACCAAAATACGCCCAGCGAAAACCCATTTACAGAACACGGATGTAGGGCGCGCGCGGACGGACACTGCAAATAACACGTGGGTGCAGTGGCACACGTACATGTGCACGTTTAGTGATGGTATACTGAAATCATCATGGTGGTCGCTTCAATCCGCTTTTTCGCGACTCTGTGTATCATCTGAACATGAAGACGTAAGAAATAAGTCTCCGGGGGTCTGAGGAATCGCTGGCACACCTACGTGATATGGAGTAAGTACTGCAATGTATTTTGCTTTTAATTATTCCACACTTAGGCCTATACCTTACGGCATGGAGGTAGGAAGTACTCACAGGCCTAGTCCTTGAGAAATGAAAAAGTCTATGCATGTAGTATGAACAGACCATGTTGAGACTAATCGTAGAACCACAACTAGGATCAACATTAGGCATACCTACAAGTACAAACTTGACACAACTTATGAAGAGAAAGCAATGGAACATGTTCAATTTTCCAGTGCAAGAGCAAATTTCTCTCGGACACATTACTACCATTAGCACCCTGTTCCTATGATAAGGAAACAAAGTCCACTTTCTCAAACTAACATTTTGACCTGAAGGAACCATTACTCAATCCTGATAGGCCTAGTTCAGGTAAATTTTAACAATATTCATTACAAACAGTACGGTCTTATTTCACATTGTACGTGGCACATCCAACACACTCAACGTGCACAGTTGCTTCACACAACTGATACGGAGGTCACACTTTGCATGCCCTTGGTTAAATAAATGGAAATTTTCAAACAAAGGTCACTCCAGATTCCGTGAGGGACAAAACCTTTTATTTATTTAATGAAAGTTTAATGGTCATACTTCTTAAAAGTCCACCCGCTGCGATGAAATCTTTAAGTTCATGTAGATTACGTGACCCGCCGTGTTATGGGCATGTGCATCTGGCGCGGTGCAAGTACTGCAAACAACGGGCTGTGCGTTTACGCCCATACCGTTCTTCATGAGGTCCAATCCAACTTTGCCACATGTTAACCACTAGCTACATTTCCCAAGGAAGACAGTGGATGTCAGTTACATTGTTTTCATTCAACTAACACACCCGCTACATGCAGTAAAAGTAAATGGTTTAACTGCTTCTGCTAACCACTTGGGCCGCGCGCCAGCTGGACCAAACCATTTTGGAGGGAGGGGGTTGTCACAAATGTGGAGTTTGGGAGGGCAGGACCCAATCCGCAAAAACATAAAACAAAAACTATTTTTATATAATTTCTCCCAAACAAATTATGTGTGAGTGAAAACTGCCCTGCTAAACTGCTAATTTCGAAGTTTAGATAAACTAGCGAGTTTTGGGTTGAGAGGCAAATGTTTAACTTTAACTTCATTTTTATCCACACACCATCAATTTATTTATTCGACTGGACAAAGGTTCTTTTCTTCCTTCTCAGAAACAATGGTTGATTTATTCTCAGCTGTTCTCAAATCCAATTAATTATCGGAAACAACTTTTAAAAACTACTCAACTTGAAATTACACAGTAACATCTGCTGCCAACAGTATTCAGTTAAAGAGAATTGCAATGCTTAAATGTATTCATTCTGGCAGGCTTCATCAGGACTGCAACATCAAATTCAATTACATTTCATTTCCTCCAATCAGTTGCTCTATCCAGTTTGCCATTTTGTTTGAAATTATAAGAGTTTTCTGAATAAACATGCAGGAAACTTATCCTTGCCTTTTCACCCTGAAGAAATTAATGCAGCTTCTATATATCTTCCTTATCTTGCAAAGGAATTCTTGCGCTATAGGAAAATTATATGTAAAATGTAACATTTTATTGTAACCCAGTACATGTGTATTAATTATGGTGCTGCAATGAACAGCCAGTATCAAGTGCTAGTAATTTCAAATGCTAAATCTAATTCATGAAAAAACAGTAAGACAAAATGCTCCCTTAATATACTTGGCCTGTGAAAGTTATGTCATAAAATGACTTGCCTTTGCATTGTGCCCGACTGTTTGGCATCAAGAGCATTTGATATTATGTTTTCTTTGCAGTTTGATCTGATTTCTGGCTAGCCACAGTTGTCTGTTTTGTTTTCTCACCAGCTGATAAAGTTTTCTCACCAGCTGATCAAGTGCCCAAATACCTTGACAATGGTTTGTGCTCTTCAAGTAGTCTACAGTCATGAGGTGATTCAGTTTTTCTAGACTCTGTGCTCTAAATACAGACAGGAAACCATGCCTTTCAATTAGGTCAGCAGCATGGTTCACTAGAAGGTGCATGTATGGTGTTACATGCTTGTGGTGATAAACGCCAACAACTATTTCCAGCCATCCTTTTACATGAACTCTTAGTTCATCCGTTTTCTGGCAAGCCTTTGCTTCATTGCAGAAATTATCAAATGATCGCAACACGTCATAAATTTCATAGAATTCTTGCAAAACACTAATGATAGCCTGCACTTCACTGTCCGGCATATTGTGGAGCAAATCTTTCATTTTGTGCAAATTCTTGAAAACAATAACCTTTTCAGGTCCTGTGAGGTCTCTCCACTTGAGTACCTTACTCTCTTTGCCAACATAAAAGGAGAATCCACGTATACCTATAGCTGATAAGAATTTTTCTAAGTTTGCACAATGTGTTGACTGGTTTCTGTCAAACTGTTTCATGGCTCGACCCTGGATGGCATCTAACCTACGCAATTCGACAATCAGTAAATACGAAATTTGTCAACCCAATGCGCATTTGGAAAGGGTCAACAAATTTCGTGCGTTGTGATTGGCCAACGCATTGCAAACTCTTGGTGGCGCAGTATTGTGAATCACCCGTATTGAATAACACATCTGATACCCTCAGGAACATGTGAAGAACATCAAAGACAACTCTGTCAAGCTGTATTGTGGCAAACAATGGAACATTTGCACAATAGTACTTAGTTCCCTTGGTTTTTCTCTGCAAGACAGGCAATTTCTGTGGTTGTGCGTGATTCCGATCTGACAGAGGGATCATAGAAAGTTCCTTTGTCTTTTTTACAGTATACGCAAGGGAACTTAGAATTTGCACTACTGAGACCACACACTGTCAAAAGGAACTTGTAATCACCACTGAGATAATAGACTATAGAATACTTAACACCACTGAGTATGTACTTGGTGAAATGTTTCATGGTCTTTTGGATGTCAGAGAGCTGAACTTTCAAACTACTGTATTTTTCCAAGTCACAGAGTATGGCTAGTGGATGGTGACTATGAGGTAAACAGGGATCCTCATCATGTAACAGTAACAGTTACATTAACAAAGTGAATGTGCTTCCCTACAAAGGTTCCATCTCCTGTAAATTTTACATGGATGTGACTATGCTCACCGACAATTTTTTTCTGCAGGTTGCCAAATCTTTGATTTTAAACTTAAGAAGTTGTTCGAGATTCCTTTGAACATCAGGTTTGTCTGATGCTGTATTTTTTCAACAGACAAACTGCTTTCAATTTCTTTGCACTGCTTTTTCACAGAACACAACCTGGGTAAATTTGAAATTTTAGCAAGTGCATTAAATGCTTCATCAGAAACATTATATGTATCCTTTACAAGGACTGCAAGATTAATCTTTTCGAGGGTTTCCTCTGATATTTTGAAGGAATTTGATGCTTCATTCTTTTTCGTACTATCAATGACAGCAAAAGTTTCCAATTCTTGAGTGATTTTGTTTAACTTGAAGAGTATGAGCCTCATAACCATGCAGTCCCAGAAATTTCAACACTGTCGAACAATGATCCTTAAGTCTTAATTTGACTTTAAACTGCTGACTCCAGCTATATGAATTTATTTCTCTAGCTTTCACCCTTTTGAATGATTTGCATCCTTTTGCAAGTCCAGATTTTCTGTTTAACTGCTTGTTTTTGAGTTTAAGCCTCCTCACATAATCTTTCTGAACGTTGTTTACAAGTTTGTGTACTTTAACCTCTGCTGCATTCTGTACGCTGCCACTTTACCAAAAAATTTCCCTCAAAACAAAAAGCCCTGTTCTCTTTTCTTTCTGATATGAAAGAGGACGTCACCAACAACTTGTTTAGATAAGTCATTTAAAAAAAGCAAAATTTGTTCCCATATAATAGGAACAGGGTGCTAAAAGTAATGAACCCCATGTACATGGCCCATTTCTGTGAAAATGACATGAGTAACTTTAGTATGCCCTCTTAGAGTTTGCACACATCTTGCAAGTTGCAAATTGTTTATCCCTCCCAAGCAAGTTGTCGGGTGTGATGATGTGCTCACGTGCAGCTGTAACACTAGGCCATCCCATGATATAGCCCAACAAGGTCAACAATCAATTTCTCTGAGTGCTAGCCCAACTTCACTTTGGCTTGCTGTGCATACTTGAATTTTTAAAATGATAGGCCTTCATGTATCTGACGCGACTGCATCAGGATGATGTAGATCAGTTGATAATAGTTTGAGCAACTTAGACTAGGGAGTCCAGCGAAACGGCGCTTCTAAATTTTATATCTGAAAGTGTGTAAAAGTGTTTTTCAATCAACGATTTCTGCCCTTTTTGTGCATCAAATTGTACATTTTAAAAAGCAGTTGTGTTTTAAAAGAACCAAAATTTGTGTTAGTACCATTTATAATGTCTGTGTGTTTCCAGTTTTGGGTGTAAAGTGTGATGAAAATACATGTAATGTACGATCAGAGCCACTTACACTACGCCAACAACTGTGTGCGGCCATCTTTGTTTGCTGTCGTGTGACATAGTCTCGTCTAAGCCTAATATCTTACGAGACTCAACCGGGTTTGGAACGATGATGTCATCATCTTGTAGAGCTTAAAATACTCTTTCATTTGATGTATGACTCGAGGCATTAAGTGCGCATAAAGCACACATGTTGTTTCAATCAAATGTTATCACAAGACCCTGTCAGCACAAACAGACTTAAAATGACACCTGACAGACTTGGTCTCCTATTTTTGTAGCTATTTATTGATGAAATAATAAATAAATATCCCATCAAAACTATGCTTCTGTGATCTTTCACACATCACTAAAAATTTCAAGCCCAACTCAGTTGTCCTGTATACATGTACATGCATCCTGTGTTTATTATTGATAAAGTTCTCATTAAAGAAGATATTGTTTACTTTACACTTCCTCAGTGACTTAACTACAGATCTTTGCCCAACTCTGGCATGTCTGGAAGTGGAACCGATGAGGAACAAGACTCCATGTGGCTCAAAAACATTGGTCTGGCGAAACATGGCAATGTACATACACTGTATATACTCATCTGTGTGTGAAGTTGCCAACTTGGTCTGGAATAAACTCGCTCCGAGTCAACTCCATCTCAGGTCAATTGTCAACTCTGGAAGGCAGGCACATGGCTCCAGCATGAATAAAAATCTTCCAAGCTAGTTTTGACGCACTTTAGCATACCTGTATTAAAGTACTTATATGTTCATGTAAATTTACTGACATGTGCATGAGATGCTTGGCCTTGTAATTTGGGAAGGCCAGGCACTTGGACGCATTGTTAACTACCACAGATGAGAAGGCAAAATCCCAGTCTTTCTTGCCAGATTGTCAAACTTTGGCATGTAAGTATTTTTAGAATTCTAACGTTGCATGTACACTATATTTACACATATAGGGCGCTTGCACAGCCGTCAGGGTCACGGGCCTGTTGCTCCGGAATGTCTTCTCAGCCACTCAGTGCGCTTCATGGAAACGCATACCAGTTTATGCATATGTACTCATGTGCATACTGCACTTATGTTCGCCATGGCTGCTACCAAAGCTCCACAAAATTCGGCTCCTGCTTCGAATATTGAGTTGTCAAAGTACGTAACCAATTTATCACCAGAAGAATGTGCCCGTTATATAAGAAAGATCTCCATGGTTGGTAGTGACCCATATGTGGTCGCTAACAGTGATAAATTATGCGACATCAATTGACTTCCACAGATCAATTCAATGGACATAATGTCCTATTTGATATCAACACTGAGTCCATATACCGTGTACAAGTCTTCGGAGGCGTATAATCAGTTTGCCAATGGTTGGCTGTTTAACACCAGTGTATGTACCTCACCAAAACAACCAGATCTTCAAGTGGTGTTTGGATGAGTAAGTTTTTAGACTTCAGTCTAAGTAGGCCTAGGTTAGGGCTCAGTATACTGACTAATGGGACTGTGTCATTGTTGAATATGTTGAAAGGTCATCAAACATACAAGCCCAGTCAGGCCAAACGTTAGTAAGCCTTGATTTGCTGTCACTTGCTGCCTCCAAGTTCTATGACTCTCATGTGGGCCTCTTGGGTCTCTTCACATTTGACTTATTCACATGTACCAATTTTTTTCCAGTAGCTCTGTGTATGGAAATGTGCTGGTAAGACTTACTTTGGTAGAAAAATAGCCAGTGTGGAGATTCTGTTACAGGAGATGCTAATAACAAATGAAACAAATACTGTTTCTTTTGAGTAAATACCTCCAGGGCCAATGTATTTTTCAAAGTTAGTATGTGAAATTTTTAGCCTTCTTTGAACTTAATGATTGATTCATTTCCAATTATTATAGGTGATGCATTCACAGTCCATAAGAGAGAAGGCATTGTCACCCTTGGTCATAGCTACAGATGGCCAGATACGTTGTACCCACTGTGACTGCAAAGCTGGAATCGTTGAAGTATGCGCACATGCCATAACACTTCTTTTCGGGATAGATTCAGGAGTTCATATTCACGAGAAAAAGAGTCACGCAAGTGAAGGCCTGTTGGATGGCACCGTCCAAGAAGGATGTTATAGCTGCCCCTGGATAAAGTAAGGTGGAATTCTCTTCAGCAGCCAAACGTAAAAGGAAAATGGATGCGACTGTTGATGGTGCAGGGGATAATTTGAAGGATGTTGGACGTGAGAATTGGGAGACATCCTCAGCTTCAAGCTCGGCATCATCGTTACCAGAAGACCAGGAGCTTAGTGACCTTGTATGAGGACTTGAATTGACTGGTAGAAAGTCTGCCGTATTGAGTGCAGTGGACTCTTTTGCAAATAGCTCTATTTCTGCAGAGACTGTGAAAGAATTTCCAGTGACACTGTCAGATTTTAAAGATGCCAACACATTTAATCTGGCTTACACAGAGCTGTTGGAGAAATTTGAAAATATAAAATATGATGTAACTCCAGAGGCTGCAAGGAATTTCAAGGCCCACACAAAAACACAAGCTAAATCAACCCTGTGGTGGAGATACCGAGCAGGAAGAATTACTGCATCAAAGATGAAAAGTGTGTGCAGGACAGATGCAGGTTATCCTGCAGTAAGCCTTCTTAAATCTGTGTGTTACCCTGATCTGTACAAGTTCACCACGGAAGCAACTCAGTGGGGATGTGAGCATGAAGAGCATGCGAGAATCTGTATGCAGACTACATGAAGACAAAACATGTAGGGTTTCATGTGGAAAACTCTGGTCTAATTATAAACCCAAAGTATCCATACTTTGGTGCATTGCCGGATGGCCTTGTATGGTGTTCATGCTGCAGAGAAATTGGTGTTTGTGAAATAAAGTGCCCCTTTTGTAAAATGAACAAGTCCATTAAAGAGGTTGCAGAGGAAAAAACATTTTGCATTCAACCAGTGGGTGCCAAACTTTGTCTCTCCAGAGAGCATCAGTGCTACTATCCGGTTCAGACACAGATCTTCATCTCTGAGAGGCCATACTGTGACTTTGTCTTGTGGACCAAAGAGGATGTTCACATTGAACATGTTCTTGGTGATGATGCTTTCTAAGCAAACATTGTTTTAGCAGCAACCAAGATTGGAGTCTTACCAGCACTTGGGGGCAAGTACATATTCACCAAGCTACCACAGGATCTGACCAAGCATCACATGGAAACTAATGATGCTTCTGAGAAGTGGTGTTATTGTTGCCAGGGCAAGAGAGGACGGATGATTCTGTTTGACAATGCTACATGCCAACAGTTTCATTTCAAATGCTTGAGTTCAAAGGAATGTTTCAAAGAAAAAGAAGTACTCTCCATCTGTAGAAATCTGGTGGACTTAGGTCTGAACAAAGTGTGTGCTTACTTCAACACAGACTTTCTTGTTTACCTTAGATCAAGTTTTTCTCTTTTATCATGGTACACAGGAAATTGACATTCAAGAATACTAACAAGTCACCTGACCAGTACTTGGACCAGTGTGCATGCATTCCATTTTATATACAACCAGTGTGTTGGCCCGTGTTTGTCTAGTAAGGTTGAGTAATGTCAACTTTTGACATGTTCCATTCAAAACTTGAAAAGGGAATAAATGTAAATTTCACATTTAAATAAAAAGATGATATATTTTGTATTAAGAATTTCAGATGGGGGTTTTCATATTCTGGACAAACATTTCAGACTTAGAAAAACTTGTTTATATGATTCAGACTTTCATTCGAATCCACAAATCTTGATTTACATGTATTCCTAAGTGACAAATCTGCAGCCTGTAAGTCATGTACATGTGGATTGATTCTGTGCTACATGTAGGCCTATGTTACAGAGCTAAAGTCAAAGTTTAATAATACAATAAGAGACTGGAAGATTTGGGTCTTGGTTTATTGCAGTGTAACTACATGTGTGTGTCCATTAGGTCAAAACATCTACACAATCTGTCAAAACCTGCAATAAAGAGTCTCATTTTGATGTTCTGATTCAAAATACAGTATGTTTGTGTTGCACATTCTTTGGCTACAAGTTTAATTAACAGGCACATTTATAACTGTCAACTTTTCCTAGTTCTCTGTTATCAAGTTAAATTGGGTTTTGCACAGGACTTGTTTGAAAGTGAGGCCAAAATTGGGCTACATTTCAGGCAATTAATTTTAAGCCAACATCTTTAAGCCTTCATTGAAAAGAACATATTGCCCTTATAACTCCTTCAGAGGGGTAAATTTGAAAAATGGCAGTTGAAAAGGAATTGGTTACTTGCAGTGATGAAATTACGTGAAAATTTGATTCACTTGTATGTCGCCGTCTAATATGAGTGACTCATTCATATTGAATAAAGCACAGCAAATTCTGGCTATTTTATCTGTTTTTGGAACAGGATTGTCTGAATATTCACCGTAAATACTACTGGCACTGGGTGACTTAATATGTTACATTTTTGTCATCCCACCAATGATTTGCTCCACATGAATACATAAGTGAGCTATCTCTCATGGTTTTTTCACATCTAGAGCATAGAGATGTGGTTTCCCTTCCATAAATGTGGGTATCTCAGCCTCACATCCATAGTAACCAGCATCGTCCTTTATATCAAAAACTCTGGCTGCAAAAATGATGTCTTGCAGAAGAAGTTTCCTTAAGAAATTAGACTCTAGTGTTATGGTTTTGTCTGTTCCTCTGCCACCCCATGCTGCTGACAAGAACAAAATCACACCCTGAGGGGTTATCCCAATTAAAAACTTGATTGTGCTGTGGTGGTTATAATTGGACCAGGTTTGGGCCCTGGCTTCCAAGCTGGTAGGCCAGTTATAAAACACTTCAAAACAATCAATAATTACAGCAACTCTTTTGCCAAATGTCCGATAGAATTGCATAGGCATGGTTTTCCTCAAAACCTTCCTATCTATCCGAGTTGATAAACCATATTGAGCATCTATCCTACTGAAAATAGGTAAAATTGTAGACTCGCTAACAAAGAACCGGTATGCTAGGTCTTCGTGAGGCATGGTTTGTCTGAGTTTCATGAGAATGATTAGGAGTTGTTGAAACTGGGTGACACATCGTCTAGTGGGCAGCTTGCTTGTAACATAATGAAATGCAAGCATTAAAACTGCATAAGTGGGCAGGCCCGTATGAAACTGTTTTGTCATCGTTTACAAAACTTTCTTCACTTAGTTTTCCATCTAGTCTTGTCTTCTTAAGTTCAGCATTATTGTAATACTAGCTTGCGCATCCAAAACCGTGACATCAGCTGCAAACATATCAGTCTGCATTGCCATTTATGTTGTCATGCAGTCAGTTTGTGTGGTCTGTTCTACAGGACCGTGATCTGCCAACTCATTTGGATCTTACCGGAGTTAGTCTTGTAGGTTCAGAAGTCCTTGCACTGCACATATCTGTGACTTCTGACCGTCTCGTCACGCTGCTCTCTCATGTCTCTTTTGAGTGAGCTGCACTGATGCAGTAGCCACTGCCTTGCCATCATGATCCATCTTCCGTGTGGGAGCCCAGTCAGAATTGGTTTCATCCCTCAACTCTGCAGGCTTTCCTAAATGTAAAAGGGAAAATGACACCAAACAATAAGGGAATAGACACCAGCCTTTTCAACTTCTATCTTATCTTCAGGATTTACAATGAACCTCAAACCACTTTTGTGAACTTGATTTTGAAAGTATGACGTTTAAAAGGGATGGTGTACAGGAAATGTTTAGGGGTTGGGCCATGTAGGGTTAAATTGACGTTATATGATAGTTTTCAACCATCTTATATACAATAAGTTGGATTAACCCCTCTTTTATGTCATTAAATAAGCAAAAATTGGCATTTTCTCAGTGTGTGCTTTTTTCAGTCTTTGCCTTGGCTCTTAGCAGAAACTTACCGAAATTGGTCAATGAGGGCAGCAGACAAATCTTGGCAAAAATGTGATGTCATTGGACGGACTCGACTTTCCAGACAAGGATGCATAGTTCCGGCAAGAAAGTTGATTGGTCCACACAAGAATAATATTCTCTGCCCTGGCGTGTAGTCGGGTACGTACATGTAACTTATACGTGTCAAGTCAACCAGATTTGGTCTTGTTTCCTAAGCCCTTCTTTTAACGTGGGGGCAGAGCTATGGGACAACTAGCTAGACATGTTGCATTCATTTTATTTTGCATCGCACTGTGCACGTGTAATAATTTCTATCGTGAATTGTGAATTTCGAAAGAATACTCTGTTGTCGGTGGCTGTTGTCGCAATCAAAACAATTCCCCTGGAGAGCAGTTTTTGTAGATTCCCAGGGGACTTTCACACCGGTGTCTGCGGGTTAGATTTGTGGATAACACACAATCAGATTTTTACAAGGGCTCAAAATTCCCCAATACATGTGCATGTTAAATGTACACCCATACGTGTACGATGTAAAATGGGACTATATTGCACTGGCTCATGTGGACAATTTTTGGTGCAATTAATGCCGCACCATGTTCACGCGACGCGTTGATGCCAAGCAAGTGACTCGCAGTGCACGGTGAAGAAAAATTGTTGGAATAGAAAACCAACTTTGACAAAGTGAGTTAGCCTGTAATGGACAAAAAACTACTTCTACTCGGAGCTTTCGAATAGCACATGGTAGGACAATTACGTCTTTTCAGAAAGACAAATTTTTAGAATGGTGCAGGAAAAATCATGACCAGTCAGTGTTTGCTGTCGATCCTCCAGGTCGCTGCCATGCCCATGGCCAACAGCCGCAAGTTGCTAAATCTCTTCCTGAATGTATTCTGGCTTGAATTGATGAGGCAATATTTCCTGTGCTGCATCAGCTCCTTCAATGTCGCTTTCTTCGTCAAATGAATAAGACGAACATGACGACTGATCGCTGTCATGATCAGAAAAACCATCAATGCTGGAATTATCATCGCATGAGTCTTACATGATGGCATAACACGACATGATAGCTAACACTACTACATTATGTACATGCTGACGCGTCGTTGCGTAGCATTAAACAGTTGCTGGATAAAGGACTCCGTCCTATGATGTCACGATTCTTGGGAATTTCTTCAGACCACTTTCGGTACCTGACGGCTGTTGTTAGTTTTTGCTCCAGGAAGGGAGTAAAAGAGGGTTGTGAAAACTGTAGTTTTTACATACTGTTTCTGCGCATTTTGAAATTATGCAGATGTGTTTTCTTGCTATATATATGTTTATGTGTTGATGCATGTTTTACAAAAAATCTTCCCAGTACGGCCCATCCCCTTGAAACAGCTTTTCATAGGTTCACCATGTTCACTGTGCTCATTATTGAATCGTTCATACCTACATGCAATCATCCCCCCCCAAAAAAAAAAGTGTGAGAGGAAACATTTCTCCAACTTCCCTGAAAAATATATCGCAGATTTGTGACAGCCCCTTATTTCCCATAATTTAGTAAAACCAACATTAAATCATGGAAGCAGAGTCATGAGGGTCAACACAATCGAAATGAAACATATATTCTGTTTTTGCAAAATCAATTTTAATTCCAGTCGGCCCTCTTATTCAATCTGTGCTTTTCACCATAAATACATGCAAGAATTAATTTGTGGTCAGAAAGGTTAACCTGTTGTTTCACCAAAATAAGAAATATTCAAAATAAGGTCAACAAAGCATACCTGTGATGAAATGTTCAGAACATACTCGATAATTTCCAATCTTTTCCACTGAGATGTCTGCCCTGTTTATGTGTGCCAGCCACTTGCGCTGTCATCTCTGCTTCAGTTCTTGCTTTTCTTTGCTGTCTTTCACACAAACTATGGGAATTCCGAAGAAAGACAAATAGCCTTCTCTGTCTCAATGATTGCCACTAAGAGAACGATGTGTTCAATCTCTGACAGGAGGGTTTCCTCACCCTGATAACAGGGTCGAGGCCGAACATGATCATGTTGGAATCAGAGATGAAGATAAAGCGAGTGCTGAAGCTAAGGTCAACATAGATCACCATGTATAATATGAAGACGACATAGAAATGAATGAATTTAGACTTTGTCAGCCTGAGCTAAATAGGCAACACCATGCTGGGAGGTGTGCTCTATCTTCCATCACACTCAGAGCAGAAGCCAGGTTGCCAGAACATGGCCTAACTAAAGCTTTCAGAACTCGTAGAAAACGAAGAGAGGGAAATTGCTAACATTGCTGCATCGGTGCACAACGGAGGGAAGATTTCTGCTTGGCTTTGGCGATGGGTGTAAAGGAAAATACACCAAGGCTTGGGGCCCGCAGACCAACAATGGAACGCCGAGCTCTGCACTGAAGATGTCATAGATATTTTAAGGAACATTTCAGTAAAATTGAATGGCAGCAAAATGAGCTTGTTCAAAGAATTAGTAACCGGTCACGCCTCGCGCCATTTCCATGTGTCAGCTGAAAAAATACTCCTCATGACTGTGGACACCATGAGCTTTGGAGAAATCCTCAGTCATTTACATATGATTGTGCCCGGATTTTTCACTTCAGTAAGGAAAAGTTGAAGGCTGAAAGCAATGATCAATTCTAAATGAAGGACGGCAACTGGAATGTCCATTGACCCTACACGACTGAGGCACCGTCTTCTCTATCTGTACCACTGGCTTAGTCAAGAAGAGAAGTGACGTCTCTTTGGTGATGCTAGCAAGTTTAATTGGCCTCACTTGCATCAACAACTCACAGGTTCTTAATGGCGTGAAACTGCACAGCCCAAAAGAGGTCTGGATGACCAACCTCTTTCTGAAAGATACAAGGCCCAATCAAGAGGCAAATTTGAGTGAACAAGGAGGGTAGTTTGTTCAGTCAATGAAGTCAATGGGACAGGTATTTATCTTTCAGCTGATTCAATGTTTTATGACGCAGTATTTGGGGGTAAACTTGGTCCAACCACATCAGACGGGTGGAATCTTTTTATGGCAATGGATGCAGGAGACAAAGGAAAGTTTGATCTGTTGACAGGAAGATCAACTGTGGGACTGTCATTAGATTGCACACGAGGACAGACTTCTATACCCATTGATAAAGACTACATCGTTGTAGATCCCAATCGTACAATATCCCGAATCGTCAAGAAGCTTATTAAACATCTCATACTTATCATTTCAGATATCACATTGCATGCCTTTGGCAAACATGGTAAGCGGTAGAGGGTAGTTAGTTTCCAACATTGCAGACCGTGAGACGTCCATCATGGCAAAGAGGGCATACATATACCCTTCAGTTTGATGACAGTGGAGACCTGCGGGATTTTACCTTGAATACCACAAGTGCGGAAGTCATCCTAGCTCCCCCCGTTGGAGTTTGGGCAGGAAGCACACTATTCAGATCGTCTAGATAATGTCATCCCTGATGTGAGTACATTCAACCATTGCCGCAGGATGTAGTGGCTTTTCTTGGCCTGAAACATCAGACTGTAGCATACAAGAGCCTACTTCAAATGATACATCTACACTCATGGGAAATGTATAAATTGCTGACAATAGATCTGGTTTATCCAAAGGCACCTAATGACGATCCCCATAGTAAGACTGAGAACAACTTCAAATTTGGTCTTTCTGCAAACGACATCAAGTCCTACCGAGCCACGTAGACAAATTCCACCGTTTGATGTCCTTCACTTACGGTCCCAGAAACTTGACCCCCTACATGATGAAACTCATCGACGTCATTCCAATACTGCTGGAGAGGTTTCCATTTCATTCAATGATTAGACTAGCGACAAAAGCCAGTGAACACCGGCATTACTTGAGTATGACCTATTTTTATCAACTCACTTTGAAAGGTGGCAGCAAAAACAGACCCATAGTTTTGCAGTCACTTTTCGAATGGCAGCAGACATTGCTTTGGAATTGCATCAGGGATTGTCCACTTTAAGTTTGTGCTGCCTTTGACCAGTTTGTTGAGGATCACCTGGCAGCCAGTGATGTTAATCAAGGAAGATGGAGAAACCCAGCTCTTGGGCACGCTGACAGATACAAGTACAGCAGAAGATGGCACTGACAAAGACTCACCGCATGCGAATGGTATTCTAGTTTGTTTGTCCGAGCTGGCAAGCTAGGTGCTCCCCAGAAGATGGTGTCTTCTCAGATAAGACGCCTTGGAGGAAGTGTGTGGAGGAGTAGCAATTTACCCATTGAAAGAATTCCATTGAGCTGGATATTTGTGTCATCTCAAACAGAGTGCAGTAAGGATCCCCGATACGTTTTACATGACTTTGCAGAAGGGTTTCAAGGGGATGGGTTGTTATATCCGACAACTGCTTTAACCACTGTGCCCATGATGGCCATAATGTAAGTGTTGATAACTACATACCAGTGAGACACACGCAAAAACTGAAGGAAGCTTCCCCACTGCTACTCCAGTCACTGAAGAATCTTCCTGTCCCAGGTGACATTACAGAAAGAGGAAACAATCAGTAATAGACTTATAGGTATCCTACAAACTGGCTAGCATGGATTCAAATTCATTAACATAACCATTTGACTTTGATGATAAAGTCTCCTTGGGATATCTTTTCGTGTATTAAATGCAAACATATTTTTTATAGCGAAAAAACCAGTAAAAAATAAAATGTCCAAATAGGACATCAGTCACCAATAATGCCAGCGATGTTAATACATGGGCACTTGAACTATTGATAAATTGAATAGGCACAGGCTTATGTTAGTTTTAAATGGTGATTAACAGTGTCAATATAATAACAAGTGCCCTGTACTTTCAGGATATCGGTGTTAACTAGGCTGAAATGCCAGCAGAAAAAGAGACCTGGAGTTGTCAAACCATGTCAAACACACAGGCAAACTACGAGAAATATTCAACGAAGACCGTCGAGATTGCCTACGGATTTGATTCAAGAAATCCAAGTTCCAGCAGGTATTTTTGTTAAATCAGTTGTTCTGGGTTGTTCTGGACAGTTATTAAAGTGAATGCTGTAGTCTTATGGCTTAACAGCTAAACAACTTAATATTTTTTGTAGACAAATGATATCTGTTCTTTGGGGGATGGGTTATCTTTTGTTTTACAATAGGTTCTTGCAAGTACTCCAAACTTTGCCACTGCTTATCAATACGTTTGTGATGAGTGGCGTGTGTTGCCAGAGAAAGAAAAGGAAAACTACACCAGAATGGCTCTAGCTGCTGAACACCTGCTTGACTGATGTGGTTTAGGGTAAGTAATCTTGTAAAAACAAGTAGAGACAACTAATCCGACAATCAAAAAACAAAAAACTTCCCACTGCCGGCACACTTACATAGATGACTTCGCAACAACTTAACCAACCAAATAACAGACTACATGTTGTAAGATACCACTCCCCGCCCCTTTTGCCTTTCTTTTCTCTGTTGGCAAATCTGAAGTCACAGTGTACATGTAGAGCATTCTAGGCCAGTCCAGCACCCCTATTTTGCTTTGTCGCACCCCTTTTTTCTGTTGCCAAACATGAAGGCATAATGTACGTCAAATTCCTGCCTGCACCCCTTCCTGCACCTCTTTTTCTATAAAGAACATGACGTCAAAACACGGCAAATTCCAACCTGCACCCCCCTTTGCCTTCTCGCACCCTTTTTTCTATAGACAGAGGGGAAGTCATAACATACGTCAAATCGCGCCCACACTTCTATTTCTCCTTCTCGCACCCCTTTTTACTGTTGCTAAACGTGAAGTCACAACATATGTCAATCTCACACCCGCACCACTATTTTGCCTGCTCGCACCCCTTTTTCTATTGTTAAACGTGAAGTCATCACATATGGCAAATTCCCACCCGCACCCCATTTTGCCTTCTCATGCCCCTTTTTTCTTAAGACGAACGTGAAGTCATCACCTATGTCAAATTTTAGCCCGAACCCCTCTTGCCTTGCGCCCCTTTTTCTATAGACAAAGGGTGAAGTCATAAGATACTGCAAGTTCTCACCCGTACCCCTCTTTTGCCTCCTCCCCTTCTATGAAAACTTGACGTTAAGTTAAAACATATGGCAAAATCTCATTACAGCTCTGACAAGCAACACCACCGTGACCACAGGGTACAATTTCTAACTTTTATTCCAGGAAATTTTCAGTGATGTAGTCAAGAACTTTTTGAGAAGCAAGGTCTCCACCAAATACTTAACTAGTTAGGAGGGAACAAAGCTGAAGTACATTGGCATTTGATGGTACATGCATATAAGTAAGATTACAAAGCAACATAATGACTTCAGACCATCACTGTTTGATTAAAGTTAACTTTTTAGGACAAAAGTACTTGCAAAGTACTCAGCCGAGTATGTGACGATATTGATGTACATTTTGCTAAGTGTTCCATATGTATTTTTTTTCCATTTTTCAACCATAAAACTTGTTGAACCTATGAAAAAAGAAACTAAATCATTGCATGATGAAACGAACACTGAAGAAACAGCCATGTCAAAATATGAAGGGCATTTTAAAGATACGTATTCGGGATCTCCCGATGAAAAACTGAATGCATTTTTCAGTAGATGTGAGTTGAATGCCAAAGTATGTGACTTCGCCTCTGATAAACTACGCTTGACACAAAGTCTTAGACTTAAAGGTAATGCAGCGATGTGGTTGTCTACCCTTGATGACTGTACGAAAAGCTCGTAGGAAAGTCTTAACGCTGCCTTGATTGACAATTTCAGGGTAAAAACCAGAATTGGGTAAACAAAACCAAATTAGCCTCCCGTGTTCACGAAGAATCTGAATCACTGGACATTAATTTTTCAGATATATCTTCTTTGAGTCACACGTTGCAAAAATTGGATCGAGAGAGATTAACTCATTTAATTCATTAGGGGCTTACAACCACGAGTTAAAGCTTTCGTTATCTCAAAAAAACACCTGAATCTTTGAACTGTGCACTTCATTATGTAGGTTTTGCACAAATTGTGTCAGAGTCACCAGCCCCGCCACCAACCATGGTGCATTCTACACAAGTTTTGCAATCATCTGTTGAGCCTAATTCCCAATCTAACCAGGCTAATACAATTCAGTAGATAGTTAACGACGTCGCTCAAATAAAGACGACAGTTAACGAAATACTGAACCAAGGCACAAAGACCAAAACTCTGCAAGGCCAAGCTGGACCTCATAGGCAAACCAATACTCCCAACAAAGTAGATTGATTTGTTATCAATGTGGTAAACCAGGTCACAGACAATTTGAGTGTTACTCTAAATTTCACATTCAAGGGTATCCTTTAAACTAAGAGCCCTGTCTACTTGTGATATAAACAAAAGATCTGGAATTATAGGCGAAGGGGTTTTATTGATCATGGTATAGATGTGACAATGCAAGGCTGTTGTATCGATGTACGATTAGGGTCTAAATCACGATCTTGTCTATTGGACTCTGCAAATATTAATGTCATTAGTGAGAAATGTTTTCGACAATCGACTGAATGTAATGCCGTTGAAATTTGAGATTGTGAAATTTCCCAAGCAGTAATTGCTGGTACTTGCCTCAACATTCTAGGAATTGCAGAGATTGCTTTGACTATAGTTGTGACTTTTGTATACCTTTGTGTGTAACTGAATCGACTGAATGTAATGCCGTTGAAATTTGAGATTGTGAAATTTCCCAAGCAGTAACTGCTGGTACCTTGCCTCAACATTCTAGGAATTGCAGAGATTGCTTTGACTATAGTTGTGACTTTTGTATACCTTTGTGTGTAACTGTTAATCTTGATTGTGACTTAATCTTAGGCACTCAGTTCCTTGTAGAACAAAACGCCAGTCTGCATTTTGGTTCAAACAAGCTGAGGCTTAATGACAAACATCAGATTTGTACAACTTCAAAGATAAAGATTCCCCCACGTACTCAAACAATATTTGAAGCTAGAGTTATTCCCAATTTACCCTCTGGGTTAGTGGGTACTTGTGAAGCTACTAGGACAATAACCAGATTAGGATTACACCTTGCCCATGTGATATCCTCTACCATAAAACACAGTGGTCGAACTCAAGTTACAGTAATGCTCCTCAATCCCTTGGATAGAGTCACTGAAGTATGCCCACGGACAAAACTAGGTACATTTGTCCTTGTGAAAAACGAAGATATGCATACATTCTTGGTGTCTGCTGAGATTGTAAAACCTTCAGAAACAAGGACTCACAACGAAACGGCACTAAAGAAGCCAAGGAAGTACTTGACCAGGTAAATATGTCAAACAAAAACCTCAGTGAAACCCAAAAATATCAACTCAAGTCATCACTTGAGGAGTATACCGACATTTTTCAAACTTCTAATACGTCTCTGCCGTGTTACATTAAAATAAAACATACCATTATTACAGGTACTTATCTTCCGATACGTTCTCGACCATATGGACATCCTCCACATTTGCAAGTGATCATCAGGGAACAGGTCCAACAAATGCTGAAAAATAACATTATTTCTCCCTCCACATCACCTTGGTCAAGTAGTATTGTGTTAGTGAAGAAGAAAGGAACAAACCATTTTCGTTTTTGTATTGACTTGCGACCAATAAACCGAATTAGTGAACGTGATAATTTCCCACTTCATAATATCGAAGATTCTATCAACACCAGCTCCTGTATTTTTCAACACTTGATATGGCATCTGGTTACTTGCAAATAGCCATGGAAGAACATTCCTAGTGCAAAACTGCCTTTGTCACACAAGAGGGACAGTATGAATTAAATGTCCTCCTTTTTGGTTTACATGGAGCCCCAAGTACATTTCAGCGTGTTATGCACGAAGTTCTCAGAGGTTTACATTGGAAAATTGCTCTGATTTATCTAGATGGTGTAATAATCTTCTCAAGGTCTTTTTCAGATCACTTGGACAACCTTAGACAAGTGTTTGATCGATTCAGATCATCTGGTCTTAAACTCAAACCCCAAAAATGTACATTTGGAGAAAACAAGGTACGTTACTTAGGTCACATTATCTCACAAGATGGAGTAGCCACCGATCCAGCCAAGATAAGCATTGTCAAAAATTACCCAGTACCTACAACGGCGTCACAAAAAAAGGAATGACTGGATACTACAGGAGATATGTAAAGGAGTACAGTCAAATCATCGATTCAGTATTCAAACTGACTATGAAAGATGTTCCATTCATTTGGTCTCCTGAATGTCAAGAGGCATTTGAATTTTTGAAACAAAAGCTTATGAAACCTCCAATTTTGGCCTATCCAGAATTTGATGGTTCGAAATTTATCCTCCAAACCGACGCATCAACCATAGGCTTGGCCTATATTTTGTCTCAAATTCAAGAGGGCTCAGAAAAAGTCATTGCATATGGAGGAAGGTCTTTAAACAAAGCAGAAAAGAATTATTCCATTACTTAAAACTGGAAGCTTTGGCAGTTGTAGAAGGAGTTAAACAGTACTCCTCGTATTTACTTCATGGACCCAAATTTCAAATTATCACTGATTCATCAAGCATTGTGTTGGCTGTTCAATCATAAACCTACAACTGGCAGACTTATCCGCTAGGCTTTACTCTTACAATCTTATGACTAAGAAATAATTCACAGAGCTGGAAGATCATTAAAGAACGTTGACTCTTTGAGTAGAATTCCACAGGTACAGCAAACTCAATCTGAACAAGAATCCAGTTACGCAAATCAGCGTCAGTTATGAAAGAAACAGACGAAAAATCTCAACCTACAACTTGAATTCCATTTGATTTTGGAACCTTAGATGGTTCTTTGATTGCCTGTAACTCTAAACCTTGTGTAAATGTTACAAGAAATGCACAATATCAGAAGAGTAAAAGAATCAAAGATGTGGAAAGTGAGATTTTGACTTGACGGTTGCAATTTAAATATTCACCAAGATATAGATCTTTGTGAGTTGAAAAAAGCTAAAGAGAAAGACCAGTTTGCGGGTGTAGTTATCAGATACCTCAAGACTCATGACCTTCCTGGTAATGACAAAGAAGCAAGGAAATAAATACTTGAAGCTTGAAATTATTTCCTTCATGTTAATACCTTGTATCATACATGGCATACTTCATCAAAAGGTCATTTGCCAGAGAAGCCTACAGTACAGTTGTATATACCACATGATTATGTCGATGAGGTACTGGTTGCAAACCATGATGAAGTTTTGGCCACCCATTGTGGTATTTACATGACATACGCCAAAATTAGACAGAGGCATTTTGGAAAGGAATGTACAAGGTTTGATAACTGGGTCAGATCTTGTAATTCTTGTGCATGAAGAAAAACTCCAAAGCATAAAGTGATAGCTCCACTTATGACCATGACTGTACCTTTCCATTTGAGACAGTAAGTGTAGATGTACTTGTCCCATTACCTGAATCAAATTCTGGTAATAAGTACATATTATGCTTCACTGATCATTGCACAAGATGGCCAATTCTTGTACCTGTCAAATCCATTGATGCTCGTACAGTAGCTGCTTGTTTCTATAAAGACATAATCTGTAACCATGGATGCCCATGATTTCTTTTAAGTGACAGAAGATCCAATTTTCTCAGTAAACTTATGCTAGAAGTGTGTCGCATCATGAGAACAAGTAAACTCAACACCAGTGCTTATCACCCATAGTGTAATGCTGTTCAAAAACGTATTAATCCTAAGACTTGAAGGTTTTAATGGTGAAGGAACTGTATGAGTAAAACGATTGCGGTTACACCATGGATCAATCTCTTTCTTGAGTATGTGTGGTTCTGAGAAGAACCGGGGAATAACTCGACGTTTCAAACAATGTACTCGGTCCGTCTTTAAGAGACTGCAGGATTCTGACTGGGAGTGGAGCTTATATGGTGTAGAGAGGGATCCAGATGTAGGGATTAGCTCGGTGAAGCGTTGCGACGGGAACAGTGAAGGCAGGAACAATGGATGCTGTGCTGGATCCTGGTACTGCATGACCTAAGTGTGTGCTTACTCAAGTGTGTCAGTTGGGGTTTGCAGTAGGAGAGTAAACAGCTGGGTGCCAAGGGTAGAGAAGACCCATAGGCTAACTAAGGAGGGAACCTAACTGGGGAGTCCTAGGGTATAGGAGACCCATTGGACTGGAATGTGAGGATGGGGCGCCAGATATCGCTGATGCTGAAGCCCATGTCTTATGGAACTGTGTCATGCTTGATGAGTTCTATGGCTTCTCTGATGCGGCGGGGATACCATCGTTCGATGCTGGTGATGAGTTCAGCTTGGCTCCTGTTGATCTGATGGTCTTCAGTGTGGGAGTGCTTGATTATTGATGTTTTTTCAAGCTCTCCCTTCCTGCCATGGGCTTTGTGCTCATTGATTCTGGTAGGGAGGTCCCTGCCCGTCTTGCCGATGTATACTTTGCCACATTGGCAAGGAATTCTGTACACCCCTGGTCTGCGCTGGGGGTCCTGCCGGTCCTTGTGCGAGGTGAGCAGGTTGTGCAACTGCAGTGGGACTGTGTGGAAACGTGCTTGTTTGCCTTAGTTCCCCAATCGTTGCCCATTGAAGACACCATCCAGCACACCAAACCAATCCTCCGCCACCTTGACAAGTCCACAGCTGATGAGATCCGCCTGCAGGTCCATCAAGCCCTTCGAAAACACAAGCCAGCCAAACCCAACATCTTAAAGCAGGAACAGGCAGCCATCAATTCACTGCGTCGGGACAAGACAATCCACATCCTTCGCCCAGATAAGGGCAACGCCACCGTCGTCATGGACAAGACAGAGTACGACTGCAAATTAGTGGCAGACATCCTCAACTTGGCCTCCTACCGAGAACTCCAAAAAAGATCCCACACCGTCCATCGAGAGGAGGCTGCAACAAAAGCTTCTCTCCCTCTAGCACAACGGTAACATTACCCAGCCCCTTTAAAGGCAGCTCCGGCCTTGCAATTCCAAGTGCCCAAGGTTCTTCGGACAACCGAAGATCCACTAGGAAGACGTTCCGCTACGCCCCATTGTAGTGTCCAGAGGAGGCCCTACCTACGACACAGCAAAGCACCTCGCTAAAATTCTTCGGCCCTTGGTGGGGAACACCGAACACCACGTCAAGAACTCGGACCAGTTTTCTGTCCTCATCCAAGACCTCACCCTCCAGCCAGATGACATCATGGTCAGCTTTGATGTCGTCTCCCTGTTCACCAATGTTCCCACCTCCGACGCCACCACCATCGCCAAGGACAGACTTGCAGCAGACCCTGCCCTCAAGGACCACACAGACCTCACTCCAGAACAGCTGCATGACCTGCTCCTCACCTGTGTCAACTAATCGAGCTTCTGCTGTCGGGGACAAATTCTTCGAACAGTCAGCTGGAACCTCCATGGGATCTCGTATATCCCCGGTTCTGGCGGACATGTTCATGGAGGAATTTGAGCAACTCGCCATCAACACATCAGACCACAGGCCCAAAGTTTGGCTCCGATATGTGGACGACACTTTCGTCATCTGGCAGCATGGGCAGGACAACCTCCGACTCTTTCTGGAACACCTCAACGGGCTTCACAGCTGCATCCAGTTCACCATGGAACAAGAACGTAATGGCAACATTTCGTTTCTTGATGTTGAGGTGACCAG